GGGCATTATTGGGGTAACTGTGGCTCCCCCCCCCCCCCCACCACTGCTGGCGTTGTTGGCCACAAACCAACAGCCCCACCAACCAACAATCTCTTCTCTCCGACGGGCTTTTTATTATTGCCACCTTGAGATGACGGGGTTCATCGAAAACGTAGCATGGGGCATGTTTGTGCATGTACAGCCCCAATGTAAATCCATTGCTTATTGAGGGCCTTCCCCCCCTGACGTGTGGGTCACGGTGGGGGGGGGGGGGGGGGTTATGTACCACACTTCACCATAACTGGTCAGTGTGGTTAGGTAAAGTCGAGGGGCATGTACGTTGTAGGCAGAGTATAATCCAACAGTGGGATTTGCAGTGCTGCTCTTTCCTGTTATAGACCCAAGGCCCGAGGCCTTGGGTCTATAACACCTGGCTGGTGCATGGTAGTCGCCCATCCAAGCACTATGCATGCTCAAAGCCTGCTTAGCTTCTGAGATCAGACAAGGTCATTAGGATTCCACGCGATTTTTATACATTCGGTCAAAGACATTATTAGGTATAAAGATACTATTAAGTATATGCAGGCTGCACATTTTTAAATTAGATTATTCTGGCCTTTTTATTTCTCACATGGTTATACAAAATTAATTTGAAACCTGCTGCTGCCGCTGCTGCCGCAGACTCATAGTGTGAGACACGGCGTGCATCTGCGAACCGTAGCCGAGAGGACGTCAACCGGGGTGATGGAGCGATGAAATCTGCTCGCGAGCGGCTGCCCCCACTTGTTTATTCTATCGCTGGATCGTGAGGATATGGCGACGGCTCAGGGAGGCCTTCATCCATATGAAAGATCAGCCACGATCAATAAACCGACTATTGAGGGCGCCACGGTGGCGAGATCTTAGCTACCTCGCCTGATATACAGGAGGTCGTGGGTTAGATCCCGACCCTGACCACCTGTATGGTTGGAGTTTGCAAGTTCTCCCCGTGGTCGCGTAGATTTTCTCTAGGGTCCTCCGGGTTTTGCCTCTACATTTAGAAGCATACGTTTAGAGTATTTGGCTGCTATAAATTTCCACACAATAAGCCACTTCGTTGGGATATCATTTGTGACAGCCAGGTCGCTTCTGAAAAAGAGGTATATAGTTCGGTAGGCCTGGTAAAATAAAATAAAAACATTTTAGGTGAAATGGTTTAATCGCTGTGAGCGAGCTTCTGTCAAGGCTGATATGCCGCATGAGAGAGTATTCTGGCTGAAATCACGCTCGTGCACCTTTGTTTCCCCATTGCTGATGTTTAAACACCGGTCAAAAGAACAGATTTTAAGGCAGCAGGTGCATCACTCTTGAGTCGCCGTTGCATTTGAATGTCACAGACTTTCAATGCAAAGCATCTTCACCTGCCACAGATATTAGCCAAGGCTGGAACTCATATACACACCGGGTTTGTAGTGCAGTGCATCAGCCAGTAGAGATGACATCTGATTATTGAAGTAGTTGATTATACTACAAATTTTCGGTGATGGGCAGAGAATGGTGATGTTATAGGGATCAGCTGTGTCATGATGGGTTTGCCTTGTTGGGGCTTTAGTACCTTCAACATGCAGGATGTTGCTGTTTGGAGGTGGAGGGGGCCTTAATTTTAAAGGAGCCCGAGTAATGGACCACAGAAAAATGGATTCAAATTTGTTGTCAACTCTACCAAGCAGTAACTGCCGTGTCACCATTATCCACCACAAAGACAAAGATTCCCCACATAGCCTCACCGGAATTTTGGGGCAAGTGCTGTTAAGGCCGGGCACAGTACACAAGCTGGTGGATGGCCAGCCCCACATTTCTCATTTGAGGCTGAGTGGACCTAGGTGAGCACCAGAACCGATTCAGATAACCGTCACTGACGTTGGCCATGAGCGGGAATCGAACTCGGGTCGTCTGGTTCATAGCGCAGCGCGCTAACCACTACCCCCGCCGCTCCTCATATTCTCCACCACACGCAAACACAAACAGCACAGAGTGCAGTTTGAATGAATTCTAACGGATTCTGCTATATTCTCCATTGTTCGTATTTCACTGAAAGCGACACTCGGGGACATTAGTTGCGTTTGTCGTGTGGCCAAGCTGAAGCGCTCCGACGGACAATGCGTGGCGCGAGTGGAGCCAAGGCAGTCATTGTGAGGCTGACCTCGTTAAACGGTCTGTTGACGGCCTCCCGAGAATGCCCAGCCCTCCACGTTACTCAACAGTGCGAGTCCACGGAGCAAAACTAAAATTATAATCAGCAGATGGCGGTGTTTGGCATCGCAAGCCATGCTGTTTAAAATGTCCACAAAGGCGAATTACGCTTGGGACGCAGGGCGCCTTTTAAAATGTGCACAGCCCCTGGCTATTTGGAAATAAGATCAAGCGGAATACCAAAGTCAAGGCTGTCCAATGCTGAGCTACAGAGGTGCTGCCACAGAGGCTGTTGCGTTTGTGCTGTATACGTACGTATGTTGAATTTATTTCGCACCGTACGTAGCCACCCGTGATACATCGGAGGTGCGGGGGAAGGATAACAAACGAAACACAAAAAGCAGTTCTCAAGAAATTAGTTTGCAATCTGTTTTCGGGATGTACCGCGTGTTGATGTGCGACGTTTCACTCCAGGCGATGGGAGCTCCTTCAGGTACCGCATGCAGTTGTGGAAAAAAAAAATAATAACAAATAAGATTTCAGTTGCTGAAGAAGATCCCAGCACGTGCAGTGAGACTCACTTCTGAATTCCCGCTCCTGCAGAGCTTTCAGAATGAACTTTCGTGAAGAAGCGCCCAGCACGAAGAAGAGAAACGTGGTAAATCGCATCCAACAGCACCGGTACGAGCCGAAAACACATCTGAGACCCAGTAGGCAGAGGTGACCGACTTTCACCTGAGATGAGCTCGCGCTCAGAATTGCCTCTCGCTGCCTGCAATTTGGCCACTCTCTTTGGTGCATCTACGGTGTTAAAAGTGAGCAATCTGGAGCAAGATAAGGTCAGACGAGCCTGGGGAATTATTGCTGAGCCCCGCGTAGAGGGGCTGATGATCTGTGCAGCTGATCCCCAGATACGAAGAAGAGAGGTCGTAGAACACGATTTTTTTCAAAATCGTAGATTTTCTTGTTTTTTTTATAGTTTATATAGGACTCATTCATCACAAACAGTTGGATAATTTGTTTCATATTGTCACGCTATTTGTCAAGAGAATACCGAGATAAAATAAAGTGAGATACAAGAACATAATAAAGGATTATAATTTTGCTGAATTAATTTAAACGTTTCCTAGGGATAAAGAGACGATGATTGATGATGATCATCATCGTCTTGATCGTCACGAATTGGGATGATGGTGGAGAAGAAAAGCGATGCAGTCGCAGCCAAGGAATGCAACATATGTGAGAATCCATACGCCGGGGAGATGGAGCGATGAAATTAGATCGTGTGAAGGTGCTGAGTGGATTGTGTTACATCGTAGGAATCGGGTCGAGCGGTTGTGCAGTGGTCAGTGCCCTGCGCAATCAACCCCAGTTTGAATCCCATCCACGGCTATCATCGGTGAAGAGTGACATCAGAATATGATGTCCACTCCCCCCCCCCCCCCCGTTTTACCAACCCACATTAACCAGCATGAAGTATGGCCAACCCCCCCCCCCCCATGAATGACATTGGATAGGGAGGCTATACACTAGTGGTCGGAATTGTTACCAAAATTCAAAAATGCCGAAACACCTCGTTTTGTCATACGGAGCTGTTTTGCTCCAATGCAACACACAGAGAAGACCGAATACCGTAACACATCGGATTACGCTGGAATGTTAATCACACGGATGGGCCCGGTGGCAGAATGGCAGCCAAAAAAGGAGGGAGAATGTGCCCGAGAGGATGTCCACTGAGGAGATGGAGCGATGGGACCTACTCATGTGGACTCTGGAGGGGAAAGGCCTTCACCACAGCAGTGGTTAGACCATGGCGCGGTGTTTTATAACACCGCACCATAGTTACATATGCCACCATTTTTTTTTTAAAACAACTCATTCAACAAATCAAGGATATGAGGAAATGTCACTTCCAATCTTCATGCTTATTATAGTACAAGCCGAACCGGCTTAATGAGACCAGAAGAGATATGAAGAAATTCATCAACACAAATACATTTTTTTGTGAGTTTCAGCCTTAATTTCACGGTGGTTGCCAGATGGTTGGATAACCCTGTGATGACATTTTTTTCCATGCAGCTGATAATTAAGTGTGAAGCCACCATTGGTCTGGTTCTCACTTTATTAGCGAGTAGTCAATAAACAGAGAGACACCAAGTAAACTAATTACAAAAAATAAAATGTATACAATTTATTGTTGTATTTTTTTCCGTAGCAGAAGTGCATTAGTAATTCTAGTGTCCACTAATACGTGTAATTATAGCACAGCTTGCTTATTAAGCAAAAAAATTGTGTAAAATTCCTGGCAACTGTTAAGACACGTTTGCTTTTTTTTTATATATATACGCATTTAAATATTTGACGAAAAAATGGAAGGGGGAGGAGAGTGCAGAGTCTATGATTAAAAACAGCACTCGCAACAAACAAAAATAGCAGGTGACCGTTTTATTAATTACAGCGGGCAGCAGATGTATTGCCGAGTCGCAAGGTCAGAGGGCAATGTCTGACCGGGGCATTGGCAGGCTCACGAGAGTGAGTGGGGTCCTCGGGAGGGGCTGTACGCCAAATGTCCTTGGTGGAGTAGGCGATGGTTGCTAAAATTAAACAGCACGAATCCTCTTTGACCACTTAGGGAGGAGCGCACATGCGGAGATGAAAATTCCATCCACAAATTCGCCACACCTCCCAACTCCATTCGTCCCCAACCACTGCGCCATTATTTATTTATTTTGAGTGTGATTTTAAAGGACACAAAGGGGGGGGGGGTCAATGCAATGTCATGCAGTTCCATGGTGGATTGCTTGCAATGAGGTCTACTCCGGTGAACGTTAATGCAGGACATTATTGGAAGTTATCGGGGCCTCCTCTACGAACAATTAAACTGATTAGAGGCAAAGGGTGGAACATTATGTATGATTGAGTAAATCAGCCTCCGTTTCCAGGGGCTTACACATTTCCCTGTGCCAGGTGTGGCCATCAAAGAATGACTATGCCAGTTCATTTTCATTAAATCTGTCGGTCCGCCTGTTGAGGGAATTTGGAAAACGCTGGGGACCGAATGCCCCATCTCTCCAAACTGAAGTCCCTATCTTCACTGCAAATGCTGTTTGCTGTAGCATTTCATCATAATCCCCCCCCCCCGCCTTTAAAGATCAACGCGGTACCTCATAAAACATTAACGCATCCGTGCTCACAGAATATTTTCCATCTCGGCATCACACACACACTTTTGGCCACACACTAATTAAAGCTTAACATCTCGGATAAAATAATGCATTTCTTTAGCGATAGTGACCATGTAAGTGAAGGTGATAAGTCGTCGTAAGCCCCTTTTAGACGACATTTGAAATTTTCACAAATCAATAATGGCTCCAAAAGGGAAAAAGGGCATTTACAACCCCCTCCACCTCCATCGCTGGTTTTTAATCTTGAGGAAATTAATAATAAATTATGCAGTGGCTAAAACCTGTCTTTTAGTGCACTTTTGCATTGGAAAATTTTGAGGAATTTTTGCCCAAATTAATTTCACATCGCAATGTACATCAAAGCTGTGCCTCCTGCAAAATCCAAGACGTTTGTCAAATAAATGCAGAGATTATATTGCTTTTCGTTATCTCCAAAGCAGTGTCTCCTCTCCCTGTGCCTTCAATTAAATGCAATTTGTTATTTTGATACATTCCGCTGATCCATAAAAAATGGAACACTGCTCAGTTTTCCTGTCAGCCCAGTGTCCATATTTTTGATTTACAGTAACACTTGAAGCTATATTTTATCCCAGCAGTGACAATTCCTTAACTAATAGGGTGGCTTACCAAGCCAAAACGTACCTTGGGCCGCGCTTAAAATAATACCAAGAAAAGTAACACACATTTTACGTGGACGGAGACTTGATTAAGGTGACATTGCATTAACTTACAACTAGTGCCGTTTGAAGTAATGGATGGGAGTAATCGGGATGATGCTGTGTTGTAAAGAATTATGGTTGTGTCTTGCACCATTCGCTCATTCATTTTCAACTCACCGCTTCCTAGTTCCCGCATACAAAAGATTCAAATGTTCCAGATAAACCTCACGCAAAAAAATACACAAGGTGCATTGCCATTTAAAAATCAAACAATGTTAAAAGTTCCTGGATATATTTCTTTTCTTTAGAAAGCACACGACCGCTCAGAGTATTTATTTTAAATTCCAGATATTTTCCCGGAATCACTCTAAAGCCTCGCTGACAGACAGTTTAAAAAATGGACAGCTTTTATCCTGTTAAGGTTGATGATGTACATTAAGCCACTCTCTGGCTTTAAAGTTACGTAAGATGGGCTTGGATGGGAGAGAATCAATTGACAGAGGACAACAACAAAAAAAGTTTCAGCGCATTTTCTGTTTAATGACCTCGATCGAGGCTACATTTAGAAATGACCTCATCACCTGCTAATGTCTGCCATTTGTTTCATATGCCACAGGCATACATAACCTGGTTTTCGTTTTTTTTCATATCGAGTATGTTTTGTTTGCCGTTGTGGTAATTTTTGTAAAATGTATTTCGAAATGGTTAACACCACGGCCCGAGACGCGACACAGTGTCACACTCTGAAGCATTTAGAAACAGTGTTTTTTTTTCTTTTTTACTTCATACAGCCGTGACGTGGGCGCAGACTTCGTCAACGTGTTTTGAACATCATTTTAGAAGAAGAAGAAGAAAAAAAAAGCTAAACACATCTTTAAAAAGTAGCAAAAAATTAAAGCATTATTCAATCCAGTGTGTAAGGCCTTTACAAAACCTATGCATTTGCTAAAAGTTAAATACCACCCATCAACTGTTAGTCCATAAATGCAGCACCAATTGAAGATGGTATACAACACAAAAGCACGGTAGAATTGTTATATGCGTCGCGATGCTCAACAATGACAAAACGGAATGACGACCCAGCTCCCTGTGACCCACGGGCAACCCGAGTTCGGGCGCTGTTCATAGAACATGCAGCTAAATATGATCACGGTAAAACTGCGCAGTTGTACGCTCTAAAACAGATGTGGTTCACCGAGATATAAAACAAAAATCTTGAAAACGAGGATTAAAATACGCATTACATTGGGCCTTCCAATACCACTGTTTTGTGTGTGGGGGGAGGTGTGGGGGAAAGTCTTTGGCAGTTGGCAGCAAGCTGACAAGCAGGCATTCGATGTCTGTGATACCACCCCATAGCTACAGTTACAATAGCGTGGGTGTGCACGTGTACGTGTTGGTGTGTATGCATGGTATTTAATGAAAGTGTATTTGCGAGAGGTGCATAATTGTGGAACGCAGCGTGTAATAGCACAGACTGTATGCAAAAAGGTAAAGGCGAAACCCTGGAACTGCCTTCACCTCTGCTGGCAGAAGGACCTCCACTAGAGGGAGCTCGGATTGAGGAGGGGTATTTGGCCTACTCTTCCACCCTGGCCAGACACTTTTGGCAGAGGTGGGAACACCACACTTTTTTTTTCCCCCACCACACACAACCTGCACATCGGCCAACTTTGGTGGCAATGCCCATTCGAACAGCTGGGTGGAAAGAGGCGGGCAGGATTTAAGAAACGTGCCAGATTGTTCTCCACTGCTGCCTGACGACATTGAACCGGCGGACCTCTGGATTGCCAAGTCCAGTGTGCGCTGACCATTACACCACAGCGGTTTCCTGCTGGCTGTGCATACTGGGCGAGGGGGGCATTCACCAGCGTGGGAATGTGCACGATCATGATGGGTGGAACAATTCACCCTCACCCCCAACCGCCCTCCGGGCAGAGATTTAATGAATTGCCGCAATTCGGGAATGCAATTAACAAATTATTAATTTAGCATCACGGTGAATGGTAGCACCTCTATTTGCCCGCAGTGGTCACATGGTCCCCTCGAGTCATCATACGTGGACGATTCGTGATCAGGTGTGCACAATGGTCAGACTCGGCTGAAAGTAAAGACCTGGTAAAATGAGCTAACGCCGCAAAGGTGCAGTGCTTGCTACACCCACTCCTTCGCTGTGTTAGCCTTAATAGCTGCTCGCTACTTGCCCTTATAGTCTAGAGGCTAAACTGGGTGACACCTTTGTCTTATTTACAGAAAAATAAGGGAGATGTTACCGATTTATGTGAACGTCAATGTGCATGAAAAGAAAAGCGAACTTATACATCTGTATTGACAAGCATAAACGTTTGCGGATTATTATTCTTTGCACAGTCACTAAATAACTTAAGAACACAAAAACAGTAAAAAAAATGGTGAAAAAACCCCCCATTAAAAATGTACGTAAAAAAATGGTGGTGAACAGCCAAGGATTTCGCTCAACGTTAAAGGGTTTTCACTGCTCAAATCGCACCTTCATTAACCGGTCAGTGGCTGCCTTTTGTCTGTTGAGAATTCATGAGTGGGTCTTGACAAAGCTGTGCTCCGGGATCTTTTGACAGCGAAATTGTGCGTTGATGCGAGCTCGCCTCACCAGCCATTGCACGTCCGCCCCTGTAGTGGCATTTCCTTTCGAAACGGACGGGGAAAAGCCTACGCTTTAGAAATATTCGATATTGGGTATGTTGCGCACCGCAGAGTGAACGTACATGAATTGAAGTAAACGTAACTAAATGTTGCCTTTCTTGACTGAACGAAACAAAATTAAGCAGCATTCAAAACATTTAAAAAAAATCTTGCAAAAAAAAAGTAGCATTTTTTTTTATTCTTGTTAAATTTTTTATACAAAGGGTTCAGTCGACATGTTTTTATTTACTTATTTTTATACGCCCGCATTTTCTCAACTCAAGTGCTGCATTAATGACCAATGCAGTGATGCTCCCGTGTAGTGCTAACATCACACTTTCTTAAAATCCGAGTTATTTATAATACACAATCCAACTAATTAAAGTTAAGGCGTTGGGATAACACATTTGGTTCATATGAACAAAAAATATCTAAAATACACACATTCATGTGCTCTGTCTATCCCTAGAGGCGACGCGGGCACCGTAGCCTGTTCAAACGCAGCAGACGAAATATATATAGAGAGAGAAAGACCACAGGCTCTGGGACAGTGCGACACACGCAGTCCATCATTCTCCGTGCGGCGACGGCAGGACATCAATTCCTGCTGCTTTTGCTCTTTTTCAGAAACCAAATTCGCGTTACCTCCCACTGATCACAGTTTGTTGCTCTTCTTGTGTAAAGATGCTGCCTTTTTGACTTTGCTTTGAAGCCGCTCAGAGGAGAAATGATCAGAAACGGGAAAAGCGATCCCCTGCCGTTATCATGATTTCTCACACAAAAGCAGTTTTCTCCTCGTTTTTTTTTGTTGTTGTTGCATGAAGTTTTTTTTCTCTCATGCGGTTCTCTTCCTGCCCGCCGATGGGGAACCCTATTAATTTCCTGGCATAGTCAGGATTCCACAATCGTAAATCAATATTTATCTCTCTTTTTTGATGGATTAAAAGAGAGAACAATACACCGGAATTTTCCGTCCCGTTTCATGTGCAATAGTTTCTGCTTGCAAAGGAGTTTCACAGCTCATACCTTTTTTTGTTTTAGCAAAAAAAAAAGGTGTTTTTTTTTCTTTCTCCCCTTCCTTTCTTTATTTTATTCTGTAGACAAAAGGCAATGTACTTCCCACGAACAGGGCACTCTTTATACATACCAGAGGAGTGTGACAGTCGTTAGCCTCTCTCTGCTGTCCTACACAGCAGATTTTGGTAAAATAACTTTTTTTTTTTTAGACCCAGGCCGGTCCACCAGAGAAAACGAAGGCATCTTCTCCCGGCTGTCACCTGCGGCCTATCTCGCTCTGCTTCAGGAACTGGATGTTGGCCGGACTGTCGGCCAGCTCCGGGTACTGCTCGGCCGAGAGGAGGTAAAACCCCTCGTAGCCGGCGACCCTCCCCTCGGCAAGCAGCTGGCGCCGCTCGCCCTCGCTCCAGGCGCGCGACGCGCTGCCCTCGTCCCCGTCGCGCACGCGCTCCTGCTCGCGCGCCCACGCCAGCGAGATGGCGCGCTGCCGCGCCACCTCGAGCGCGCGCGCCCTCTCCTCCTCCGCCGTGCCGCCGTAGCGCACGTTCAGCGCCACGCCGCCCGCCTGCAGCGACACGTCGGTGTAGCGGCGCGTGCGCCCCGCCACCAGCGCCGTCGACTGCCACACGCTGGCGTTGACGCCGCTCTCCAGAGTCTTGCGGCCGCCGGTGAGGCCCAGGGTGGCCAGGTCGCCCTCGGGCGAGCCCACCTTCACAAAGTGGTGCGTCTCCTTGCCCTCAACCGTGAAGTGCAGCCCCTCCAGGTAGTGCGAGTTGTTGAGCATGGCCGCCACCCTGCGGCTGTCCTCGCTCGCGATGTTGATGATGTCGGTGGTTATGCGCCCGTGGCTGTTTGCGAACATGACCCCTTTGCCGAGGATGGGCACCACCGTCGTGAACCACACGCGGCCGTCCCGGTGCCGGCTCGCCGAGCGGTCGGGGCTGTCACGCATGGGCAGGCTCTCCAGCGAAGTGAAGGCCTTGAGTTTCTTGTGCACCCCGCAGTCCACCCACGACACGGCCTTTGCGAGCAACAAATACGACGTACACGTTAGACATTGCTCTGCGTGTAGTTTTCGTGTCCAGTTTGTTGTCCTTCCCCCGCACCTCCGATTAGCACGGTCAAGCTACGTACGATGCGTGAAAGAAGTTCAACATGCATATATATGGTAAAGGTGTAGCCCTGCAAGTGTTTGTTCACATCACTGCTGGAAGAAGGGCCTCCCCCCACTACAGGCAGCTCTAGACAACATACCTAAAAAGGTTATTGGCCAACTCTTCTACGCTGTCATTATTAGCACGGTTGGTTACGTACGGTGCGAAAGATGTATCTACGTATGTTGAACTTCTTACGCAACCGTACGTAGCCAACCGATGTTCCACATACATACACGACGTGGGAATGCCCACCATTTATCCCGCCACAAACAAACCTGCTGATTGATTAACGGTGGCGTTGCCCATTTACACTGCTGAGTGGACACGGGTGATGGAGGAGGGGGGTGGTCTAAGAAACTTTCCCCCATTGTTCCTTGCTGGGAGAGGGAAACGGTGACCTCTGGGTTGCAAGTCCAGCACACGCTCACCAGTGCAGCACGGCAGTAACGTTGCGTGCGTGCGTGCGTGTGCAGACGAACTAAATGATAAACGCAGGAGGCAAAAGCAGACGAGGATTTGTTTTATCACCGTAACATTGGAAAGTGGGGGGTCGCAACATGAGATCATCTCTACTTTATATTACTCGCCACCGATGTTAGCCGTGTGCGGGAATCGCGTTTACACAGTGCAGCGCGCCACGCCCAGCCGGCAGTTTGAGCAGAGAGATGCTCGATCGGTTTCACTTTTATGACTCTCATCAGCAGCACGTGGCCTATTAAACGAATGCTGCTGGGCTGATTGATGTTGCAGGCAACAGCTGTCTACAAACAATGGTGGGTGGGGAGGGCTCATTATACAAAATGTGTAGAGATATACCTCCCAGGCTCTGGGAATTGTAGATTTAAAAGTTTTGTTAAGGAGTCCACACAACAACAATAACAACAGTAAAAAACACACACACAAAACAGATAATGTAATTAGCATTACCAAAGTCACGTTTTTGTAAATGAGTCCTTACCCTCGCTGTGTCCTGCCTCTGGCTGGCAGTGAGCTCATAATGCGGCTCGTAAGAGTTCACTTTTGGCTTAGCAAAGCCCGGGATCACGTTGTGCAGCTGAAATCCAAATGTCTGCAGCCAGCTGTTCACATCTGCATCCATCAGACAAGGTGCGTTAGCAGGGCTAATCAGGAGCGATGGGGATATACGGCATTGCATCAATTATAAGCTTGTAATTACCTACATTTTTGCTTTTTTAATTCTACCATCTGCCACGAATGTAACCGGTTCCTATCAGCGCGCATATTAACACTGGCTGCAAGCTGGTCTTAATGAATAACAAAATCCATAAATCATATAACTTTGGCCTATTTTTTTATACGGGGGGGGAGGGGGGAGTGCGTTTTGTAAGAAATAATATTAAAGGGACTTGTGATTTAGGTAAGCTGTCATCATCGAAGCCATCATTGTTAGCTCTGCAATCACCACTGAAAGCCATCATCGTGATCATTATCATCCTAACTTGGTTAAGCACCTAATTATGTACACAGCAAAAAACACAGTAACCTTTGCACATTTCTAATACATCGTAGGTTAATCTCATTTATTAAGTGGGCATCGAGGAAAACAGCCCCCATTTAGCCGACATAGCTTGGCGACGCTTATGAAGGTCAGATGTTAAAAGTAGTTCATGGCTTTTTAAAAGTATCATTTTGACAGCACATTTTCAGCACCCTCGGTCGACCGGACAAAACGTAGACTTTGTCCAGATGCGATTGTTTCCACGCTATGGGTTTTTTCTTTTTCCCTGCTTCTTCTTGACAATACAACATTATATTTATTTCGTTGAAAACTTTCTAGAGCGTCGACTCAGGAATGAAAAATAGGGCACTGCATTAAGCTCACCGGGCAGATTTTAAACTCTCTGGAGCTCTGCGATAACATCGGGCCATTTTTAAAAAGCCAGCTTTCCATCATTCCGCACACGTGCGCGCTATCTCGCAAGACGTGCATGAGGATTCTTGGGATTCTAAGAGAGCGTTTGCAGGAAATGCCCGCGGCTCGGAGAGAGAGAGAGAAAGCTCAGGTGGCATACGACGGACAAATCGACGACACGTCGGGAGAGATGACGACAGACGGACGGACGGACGCGGAGGCAGGGATAGAGGAACTGGACCCTGGGCGTCGCAGAATATTTATCGTCTACGCACCGGGAGTCAATTTGGAGTCCGCGTGAAGGAGGAGTCAAATGGGAGCCGGCCATATAGGTTGTGTGTACGTGCACGGGATTAGGCAAATTGTCGCTAATTCAATCGTGTCTACATGTGTAGACCTAAAAATATGTCCTGCGGAGATGAGGTTGCGCCTTCCGAACCTAGGTTCCATGCCTTTATTCATATTATTATGAGAGTTTTCTTTAAAACAAATGTCAACCTGCTGAAAATTATCCAACTCTTTCAATAAACACGTATTTTAATCCATGCTTTAATACTCTTACGTAAAAATATGGACAAGAATACCATTTTTCATATTCTTAGCTCTTTCGGTAAAGTCACGTTGAAGGGAAACAATAAAATAATAAAATATTTAAGAATACCATTATAACATTTGTTTGAATGAGACGTGGGGGGGGGGGGGAAGGGCTCGGTTACCCGTGACGTATTTCATGCCATCCTGCATGTCTCCGACGGGATTGTTGTTCTTGAACGTGTACAGGTTAAAGGGCCTGGGATTGGAGCCAATGTCCTTCCAGACGTCGACGTCCGGCGACGTCCACCGCCCCGACAGGATGTCGTAATCCCTCCGGCCAAAGTGCACGAGGCGGGTGAGTGAGTCGTACAGGCCCCCGTGGAACCCCACGCACAGCTGGAAGTCGGGTTTGGTGTCCACGTAGATCTCGCCGTACGCCGTGTACTGCATGTGCCGCACCACCAGCCCCGAGCTGCTAAAGATGGCCAGCGGGGTGCCCAGGTCGTCCGTGGCCACGTAGAACTCCTCGCCGCCGCTGAACTCGGCCGCGAACAGGTGGCCCTGCAGGTCGTAGTACAGCGACAGGATCTCGGAGCTCGAGTGGTTGTAGATGTGCGTCAGCCGGCTCGGGTAGTCCAGGTCGGCGTAGAAGAACTGCAGGTGCTCGCCGGTGCCGGAGCGGCGAGACACGCGGCGGCCGTGCCCGTCGTAGCGGTAGGTGATGCTCCAGCCGACCGCCTTGTTGTAGGCGCGGATGAGCTGCCCGTTGGAGTTGTACTCGAACGAGTCGGAGCCGCGCTGCTTGAGGAAGCCGTCCTCGTCCGCGACGTAGCGGATGTCGCCCAGCCGGTTGATGCGATCGCGGAGGTCGTACCGCAGCGGGGTGAGCCGCGCGCTGTTCCCCGGGTTCAGCAGGTACAGGTTTCCGTTCAGGTCGTAGCTGTACCGCCACGTCACCTTCTCGTTGATGGACACGCTCTGCAGCTGGCCGTCGGCGTCGTACTCGTACGTGTACTTGGTGGTGTTGGCGTACGGTCCCACCTTGAGCTCGCGCTTGGACACCCGCCCCAGGTTGTCGTACTGCAGCACCATCCAGTACATGAGCGAGCGGTAGATTTCGTACTGAACCTCCTTGACGCGGCCGTAGCCGTCAAAGTGTTTCGTGAGCGTCATGACGGCCGTGGTTATGATCTGGTTGATGTCGTAGTAGATGACGGCGAACTTGCCGAACTGCTCCACCTTCCCGGAGATGTCGTCGTAGTGGTAGAGGTCGATGGGCAGCGGCGTCTCGTTGATGACCGTCTGCACGCTCGTGACGCGGAAGCCGTTGTCGTAGCTGTAGTCGAAGCGCGCGTTCACCATCCCTTCCTCGTTGAAGCGGAGGATCTGCTTGTCGACGAGCGGCCCCGCGTGCCGGTAGCGCAGCGTGCACGCGTAGCCGCCATCCTGCAGGTTCACCAGCTTCAGCATTCCCGTGAGGTCGTCGTAGGTGACGCCAACGCGCGTGCCGTCGTACAGCACCTCGGTCAGCTTGCCCGCCTGCTTGTACTTGTAGTGGACGCGTCGGCCCGTGCCCGTGTAGGCGATGCGCAGCACCAGCCCGTCCTCGCCCACGTCCTGGATGACGGAGGCGTTGCTCTCGGGCGGCGTGTACACGTTGCGGTAGTAGCCGACCGAGCGCAGAGTCGCCAGCGTGTGCCGCGCGACGCTCGGCATGGTGACGGAGGCCAGGCGGTCCGACGAGTCGAACTCGAAGATGAACTGCCTCTGGCTGTGCAGGAGCAGCACCATGGACTGGGGGGACGATGAGAGCACACGGAGGGGTGAGGGGGGGAAGGGGGGTTAAATGTTAACTCCCGTTCGGACCGCCCAGGCCTGTGGGATGTCAGCTGCGAACGAGACGTCTAGTGCACACACTAAGACGACGAGTTTCGTGCGCCGCAGTGGATCATGGGAAAAGGAGACATACATTTAGTTGGTTACGCAACAATCTGTCAGAACTTGACCCCCCCCCCCATCCCTGTACGCACGTGTACTTTTTACACCCCCCCCCCCCCCTCACCTACGTACGTACGCTTGACGCACCCCCCCCCCCCCCCGAATCCTATAGAACGGCCAATATTTAATCCACGCAGAAACGATCAAGGATGAATAATATTAACTTGTTTAAGAAAACAGATAGTCCACCACTGGCTGCATTAAAAAATTAAGTTAGGTTCAAACGCCGGCCTAGCTTTACACAGCTTTGTACAAACAGTTACTGTATATTCTAGATTTGAAGCTTTCGTGACTGCAAAGATCCATACTCTTTGGTTCTATTCGGTAAAGTCACGTAGGTAAAAAATAAAACAACAAAAATCAACAACCTTTTCCTACACCACATCAATTCCAGACATCCCGCCATCAAATTCACCATGGAAGTGGAGAAGGATAGCAGGCTACCATTCTTGGATGTTCTGTTTGAGAGGAGACCTGATGGCTCGTTGGGGCATTCTGTCTACAGGAAACCCACCCACACGGATTCCTACTTGAGGCCTGATTCCCACCACCACCCAGCTCAGAAGAATTATCTCATCAAAACTTTATACCATAGGGCTCATTGCATTTCGGACCAACACCACCTGACCAGTGAATTAAAACATGCACACCTGGCCCTCAAAAGGAATGGATACTCTGACCATACCATCCGCCAAGCTGTTTCTCCCTCCATACAGAAACAACCACTTGATACTCCAGTCAAAACCATCACACTACCATATATAGCAGGCATTACTAAAAAGATTTCCAAAATTCTAAACAAACACAAGATCCAGGTCCGGTTCAATACAGTACACAAAATTCGTGATCTGATCCCATCCGTGAAGGATGTCATTCCTGACTTACAGTACCCCGGGGTTTACAAATTGAGTTGTACCTGCGGTGATTCCTATATCGGGGAGACGAAACGACATGTCTCTGACCGAATTCGCGAGCACAAATCAGATTTGAAACACAGCAGAACGAATTCTTCTGCCGTAGCTGATCACTGTTACAATGCTGTGGGTGATCACGATATAATTTTCTCCGATACCAAGGTTCTTTGCAAACCCACGGGTTTTTATCAGAGATTTGTTCACGAGGCAATTCAGATCTACAAACACAGATACAATTTCAACCGAGAAGATGGTTTCAAATTAAGCAACCATTGGAAAGTATATTTTTCAAGTAGTGGTACCCCTAACTTTCGCAGCTTAAAATCCCTTTTCACACCACCAGCATGTGGACTCTACCTTGCCCCCTCGCCAGCCTGCAAAGGTCGACCCCCTCCCTACCTTTCATTATGCTAAATTCCTTTGCCATGGCACCTTAATTACTCTCACACAGCTTAAAGGTCGCGGTCTGAGCTTGGCTGTGTTTCACTCCAGCGCTGTCCTCGAGACAGTCTGGTCCCTTCACCTGATGAAGGCCGCTTGTATTGTGGCCGAAACGTCGTGATTTTTGTTGTTTTATTTTTTACCTACGTGACTTTACCGAATAGAACCAAAGAGTATAGTTACTGTATACTTGACCGTGTTATCCATCCTGACTGGTTATTCAAAAACACGTTTATTATAATCTTAAACACACAATTAAAACTCGGAGAACTAGTCTCTATATAAAGTGCGTCGACTGAACATCTGCTGTAACAGTAGCCCGATGTACAGAGCAGTGTCAGTACTCAAGTCTGGACAGCAGCAGCAGCATGAACAGAGAGCACCGCGGCAGCTAAAACCTTGAGGCCAGATTGAAGGATGTGTGATCCATGGAGCAGGCCGCCAGACTATGTCAGACTCACTGCTGTGCTACGTGACAGCGAGCAGTCAGGGGCACGGTGGCATTCAAGTGACACCTCTCCCACAGTCCTACTTATCCCGGTAATACTTGTCTGACAGCTGAAGAAACTGACCTGTGGCTCATTTGAAGGCCAATGTAGACAAATTGTTATCAAGGCTTCACCCCCCCCCCCCCCGCGTTTCCTATGGGTACGTACGTTGTCAGAAGATCCCCCATACGCAAGCGCACGCATTTGGGTCAACCCCCCTCCATGCGTACGTACTAAATGGATGGCCCCAAACTGTGCGAGAGATGTGCGAGGCAGGAATGGGTTCGCAAATCAACGACGCCGACCGCACCGCCCCTGCGAGGTTACTATAACATTGGCAGGCTATAGATAGATCCTTGAATCTATCTGTGCGGCGCTTTGAGCGTCACCGCCAGACATGCAACAGGCGTCAGGGTCAGGATCGAACCCACGACCGACCTCCTGCACACCAGGCGAGGCGATTAACATCTCGCCACCGCGGCTCACCCGGTCCAGGTACGAGTACGACCACGTGCGCCCGTCGGCGAACGTGCGCGACTTGAGTCGCCCCGCCGTGTCGTAGTCGATGCGCTCCGACATGGAGCCGCGCTGGAACGTGAGCATGCGCCCACGCGCCGAGTACGTCACGTTGAGCGCCGTCAGCTTGTTGTCCGGCTGCCACAGCGTGGGGCGGCCCAGCTGGTTGTAGACGACGCGCAGCGTGAACTTGCGGTGGTCGTCGTTGATCTTCTCGGTGCGCGTCTGCCGGTTGAAGTCCATCGACAGGATGTTCCTGCCGTTCACCTGCGCGCCCGCGCGGTGTGGGACGGGTGCGTCAGCGGCCGACTTCTTACGCCGTGGTTACCCGCGTTTGCCCTTCTCCCCGCACTGCCGATGAGCACGGCTGGCTCCGCACGGTGTGTAAAAACATCGCCGTAGGCGTTCCGCGACCAATATTATCCATGAGAGGTTTTTTTTTGGGTTATATCGAGTAAATATGAATGTTTCGTTAAACGTGCCACCACCCAACGCAGCCAATTAGTAGGGTTTGTCACGTTAACAAAACATGCCAATTCATTACGAGTTGTGTTGTTGTGTGTTTACTCTCCAACACGTACGTACGTTTGCATGCTGTTCTTCCTTCGTCACAGGTGGTAGTCAACTGTGACCGTTGTAATGCTTAGCACACTGGACCCATCAGTGTATTCACCACAGTTCAAGAGACAAAGTGATTCCCTGCTCAAATGGCATCGAGGAAGGCCTCCTCTCGCGTGCAGCGGCGTAAAGGCAGGGTAATGTCTGGCCAGTGTGGAACAGCAGAACAAAGAACCCTCTGGAAGGGCTCACTAAGGCCTCACTCTAGCAGAGGCCCTTACGCCAGCAGTGGCGTTGAGCAGACAATTGCAGGACTGCGCCTTTACCTTCATCAAAGCATCGTCAAATGCTGTCCATCAAGGCCGCTGCGCGCTGACACCAATGTGGTCCACCAGCTCATAGACAGCGCTATCGAAGGGCTAAAGAACCGGGACATCTCTTTTGTAACATTTTGTTTACCACTCCGGCCAATAAACTCCGGGCGGTATGAAACGTGGGGGGGGGGGGGGGGGGGGGGCGTCGCGGAGATCGTGCGTGTGTGGGTGTCTGTGTGCGTGTGTGGGTGTCTGTGTGCGTGTGTGGGTGTCTGTGTGCGTGTGTGGGTGTCTGTGTGCGTGTGTGGGTGTCTGTGTGCGTGTGTGGGTGTCTGTGTGCGTGTCTGTGTGGGTGTCTGTGTGCGTGTGTGGGTGTCTGTGTGCGTGTCTGTGTGGGTGTCTGTGTGCGTGTGTGGGTGTCTGTGTGCGTGTCTGTGTGGGTGTCTGTGTGCGTGTGTGGGTGTCTGTGTGCGTGTCTGTGTGCGTGTCTGTGTGCGTGTCTGTGTGGGTGTCTGTGTGCGTGTCTGTGTGGGTGTCTGTGTGCGTGTCTGCGTGCGTCTCCCCCTCTGGTGCGCACCCGCAGCTTGCGCCCATAGACGGTGACGTTGCCCCGCGCCTGCTCCTTGCGCAGGCGCCACTCGAGCATGCTCACGCCGCCCTCCATGGGCAGGCTGATGTTGAGGCGGACGGCTGCGGGGCTGGCGGGGCCGGCCACCACGTGCGGCTCGGTGTGCAGGCCCAGCTGCAGCCCGCTGGCGTACGCCACCTGCAGCGAGCCGTCGTGGCCCACCGCATACGCGTTCTTGCTCTGGTCTGCACGGGACGGGGGGAGCGCGACGGAAACGAGCGGCACGTGAATTCTCCGCCGGGACCGGCAGCGAACAGGGAGGGTTTCTTTTAATCTTCCGCGTCAATAATTTAATCGAACAAGAAGCGACCTGGCCACAATTGATAGCTCAACGAAGTGGTTTATTGCGTGGAAGTTTATAGCAGCAGCAGCAGCAGCAGCCAAATACTCCAAACGCACGTTTTTAAATGTGGAGGGAAAAAACCGGAGGACCCGGTAGAAACATCCACGCGACCACGTGGAGAACACGCAAACTCCAAATATGCAGGCATCAGTGTCGGGAGTGAACCTACGACCTTCAGTATACCAGGCGAGGTAGCTAACATCTCGGCACCGTGGCGCCCCAATTAAAACTTGAAAATCATTCAGGGTGGTGGGAAGGGAAATACACAAATGAAATAAATAAACCAAGTCAACATCGCCAGGGAATAATATATTTTTTTTACATTTGAATAGGTCAATTATAATTTAGGTTAATCAGGTGGGGTAACAAGGGAGGTGCCCTTGATTGATTGGAAAGGTCCGGGAGTAAAAGGGGGCCGGCTAAGTGCAAGGTTATCAGAACCGTGGCTGATGTGCTTGTCAGCTCCAGTAACTGTAATAGGAATTTACGAAGATTGTGAGGACCCCGTGAAGATGATGTTGATGAAATTTTAATTACAACTCAAAGCATTTGAATATGACTGCATCTCAAGATGGTGTACAAATAGGGGGAAACATGCATATCTAGAGATTAAAAAAAAATCTTATCTTATTTATTTCACAGACAGAAATGAGGAGATAGATTGTTACAAGTTGGACAGAGTGTGGCGATGGACATTACGGGCGGCGTTGTTGTTGTGCAAATTAAAGACACGGCAGTCACAGGCAGAAGAGACGAGTCTTGAGCCTGGACGATAATACGGATATGGTGATTATCTCAGCCGTGCGGATAGCCAGAGAAGGGGAGTCCATACAGAAGCTTGAGGATGGCGAGTGTGATTGAAACGGGAGCCAGAGGAGGGATCGAAGGATGACCACGATACTCTTATAAAGGGACAATCTGTTTACACTCTGAGAGGGTGACGGCTTAGGGGCAATAATTATTATTCAGGCCAATGCCCACCCAGCAAAGGGGAAAAGACAAAAGATGTTTTGGCTGGACCCTGCAGCAGGCTGTAGTAGGTCTTCACGGTGGAGAGGTTGGTGGTGATGGTGACGTCCTCGTCCTGGCTGGACGTCTGCACCACGCGCAGGGCATCCCTCGCGTCTCCGTTGAGCGACTTCACCAGGCCCGACGGGAAGGTCACATTCGTCAGTCGACCATCCACGTCATATCTGTATAAAAAAAAACAAAGTAAAAGTGGGGGGGGGGCATACAGGTCGTTCGGTGTTGTTCAAACGATTCAACGTTTGGCAACGGCACTTCGAGAACAGGACGAGGGTTAAGGATTTGCATTTCACAGGCACGCTTGCTGAAATTCCGCAGCAGCTCAGAGGACTTGGAGTCATATCTCATCCCAACCCAGAGCCCTGCTGGAGCCGAGCCAAGGAACCGTGCCAACCCCGCCACGCCACACCGCCGAGACATCGCCGCCATTTAGCCGTCCCGACGCGTTCTGTCTAGCCGTGACGAGCGATGCTCGGCGCGACGCGGGCGGCAGCCCGACTGAAGCTCGCGGTGCGTGGAGCAAAACGTCGGCGGGCAAGCGAAACAAATACGAGGCACGACCCTGAAAGCACCCTGGCAGAGCGGTAGAGCGGCACAGTCGCGGCAGCGTTGCTGGCCGCATTGTGCAAGCGCTCGCCGCCCACTCCCCCCCTTCGCCTGCTCGACGCGCGTTGGCTCAGAGCGCTCACTGGTAGAAGGTGGTCCACCCGTTCTCGTCGCTCTTGGTGGCGAGCAGCCCGCCGCCGCTGTGGTACGTGAGGAAGGCCAGCTCGGCCCCCTGCGAGGAGACGCTCTTGAGCCCCGAGTTGGCATTGAGCGTGAGCGAGAGGATGAGCGAGTCGTCCACGACGAGGCGCAGGGGCATCCCCGTGGAGTCCCGGCGGACTTTCAGCAGCGCGCCGCTGCCGCCGCTGACGGTGACCAGGTCGCGGTCGCCGCTGTATGAGAAGTTGTAGAGGAACTCTCCGCTGACGAGGCTCAGCGTGTGCAGGTGGTTGCCGTCCCGGTTGAAGACGTACAGCTCCTGGTCCTCGGTCGACGCGATCTCGTACTGGCCCGCGACGTTGAGGGTGGGCCGGTTGGGCCTCACGGCCCGGATGCGGATGTTCGCCAGGTCGGCGACGAACACGACGCCGTCGGGGCACACCGCCAGCGAGGACGGCGCGTTCAGCCGGGCGTCCTTGGCGTAGCCGTCGTCGCCCGCGAAGCAATCGCAGCTCACGTCGCTCTTGCAGTCGCACTCGGAGGCGGCGCCGGCGAGCGGCGATATCTCCCCGTCGCTCGTCACGCGCCACACCAGGTGGATCTTGCGCTCGTCCGTCTCGGCGACGTACAGCGTGCCCGAGTGCGACACGGCAATGGCCGTGGGCGCCAGCAGCACTGCGTGCGTCGCCAGCCGCCCGCCGCCCTGGTGCTCCGCCGGCGGCAGCGGGCAGTGCATGGGCCTGCCGGCCACCACGCGCACCTGCTGGCTCTGCAGGACCTGCAGGACGATGTTGTTGTCCAGGATGTACAGCGAGTTGTCCAGCGGGCTGACGGCCAGGGCTGTCGGCCATCCGAGCTGCACCTGTGGAGCACGGAGAGAGACTCGCGTTGCGGCAAGGTTTTAGATGACGACTGAACTTTCGCTTGTCGTTGTTCAAAACAAGTAAAGGTGGAGGTGCAGGCCTGAAATTGCCCGCGCTCGCCATTACTTTCGGAAGGCCCTCCCACGGGGTGGGAGCTATGCAGAGCATTTCCTCTCCAGGGTTATTGGCCTGCTCGGCAAGGACGGCCGTACATCTTGGAAGAGCTTGGGAGAACCCACATTTTACCCCACGACACCGGACCTACCGATCGATGAACTGTGTTCCACCCATTTACACTGCTGGGTGGGTGGACAGAAGTGGGTGGTGGGTGGTGGGGGGGCTGCTCTGAGAGACTTGCAGCATTGCATGAAAACTTCTGCCATAGGAGATCGAAACAAACCGATGATTGTAAGTTTTGTCTACTAACCCCTGCACCACAGCAGCACCCATTCAGCGATCGCTGTAAATGCACACGTTCCGTGCGGCATGTATGTACCGTTGAACTTCTTCCGCGCCATACGTAGCCAACCGTGCTAATCGGAGGTGCGGGGCATACTATTACTCCCATTTAAATAGAGAGCACAAAGGGCTCCATGGTGCACCAATTTAAGTTGTGATCAAGGATAATTCAGATTAAAGTCCTTTCATATAATCAATAATTGTTGAACATTTGTTGTTATTATTGTGATTATTATTATTATTATCAGATAATGTATAGCATTCTAGATTTGAAGTTTTCGTGACTGCAAGGATCCATACTCCTTGGTTCTTTTGGTAAAGTCACGTAGGTAAAAAATAAATACAAATTTAAATAAGATCAAACAAAAATGAAAAAAAAAAAATTTTGTTGTTTTAAATTTAAGTTTGATTTTATTACATTTTTATTTTTTTACCTACGTGACTTTACCGAAAGAACCAAAGAGAATGTGTAGCATATTTTAAGTATGCGATTACATTTTTAAATATTCTTTACAACATTTTGATTGGCTGCAGTACGTTTCTTTTTGTTCACTACCCAAAAAGGCGGCTCTGGGGTTAATTACGCCGGATTATCTTGTAATGCGTCAAATATTCGAGACGGGTGCACGCGCACGCTCTTGCGACAGGGTGAGAAATTGTAGGAGGTGGCATACAAAATCTCTTTAATCTTCAATCGATCATGATTCAACATTGCATTGATACAGATTCCCACGTTCCGTGCCCAAGCAAAACTACAATGGCAACAGTCAGTCGGTGGCCTTCATTTTAACCACATTAAATAATAAAGCCCACCGAGATGCGGGAAACAGTGCTTCCTTTTGCAATGCCAATCTGGGCCGTGGCATTTAATGGCGTTAATGGTACCACCGGTGGCATTAGCGGTACTGGCGTTGTTGACGGAGGAAGTGTTGATGGTCCCAGTGGCAACGGTGATTGCGGTGGTAATGGCGTCGCTAATGGCTTCGTAAGCAGGGCTCAAGTAACGTTTTCTGACGCGGCTCGTTGCCCGTAAACGTTTAAACCAGGTCCTCGTGAACAACGCGTGGAAAGGCGTTAAGTGCGGGGCCTGCCGCCACCACAACCACCACCACAGTTACCAACGCAAGTCAGATTTCACACGATCACGGGCAGAGCCAAACCTCCAGGGGACCTCTTCAAGCAAGTTCAAGTTGAATTTAGAAACTTATTACAGCTCTGAGCTGTCTGACAGCTCTGAGCACTTTAAAAGAGTGCTCATTAAGAGCTGTGAGTACGGAAATTGCTGAACTATTGTGAAATGTTTCACGTTAATATAGGATATTCAGCAAACCAAAGTTATAACAAGTTTAAATGTTTAAATCACAGGCTGTATTAAAAAAACTCATGTTTAGCCCGCTGACAAGCCACTGTTGAATGAAGGCTTCCTGTGATGTGCCATACGTGGAGGTTGTTTGACCATACCTCACCACGGTGATGGACTGTACAGTATAAGTTAACCACTGTCGTCTGCACTCCTTCAACGGAGTAAACTAAACTACACAAACACTCGACTGCAATCCTCTCGTGGTTAGTAGACCTCGACATTGGCATTCAGCTCCTGAACATATTGCCATCATCATACGCAAGGGTGGAAACCACGGCGATCAGTGGCAGGTTGGTGAAGGGGAGGGCCCAGGAACCGTCCAGAAATCACGCGCCGCTGATGTTCGCTGTGGCTCGGAAACGAACTCGGGTTCGTCGGGTTTATGATACAGAGCGTGCTCATCACTGCGCCACCGCTCTTGCGCGTGTGCGGAACGAGGCGTTGATCGATAAAAAAATCGACTCTTAACCCTTTCCCGTTCCGAGACGTTTGCAAGTTGCAGGGTGGGTGTCCCGTGCACAGCTGAATCTCGGAACGCGCGAGCGGCATAGCGCTGTTGTTTTTAAAGACATTGTTCAGTACTCACCGCAGAAAACCGTATCGACACGACCGCACTCTACGATAGCTGGCGCCAAACTGTGCCACACACGCCCTCCCGTGTAGCCTTTTACTTTCAATTCAGTTCAGGATCGATTCGATTCCGTGCCGAATCTCTTCCATTCCGATGCCATACACGTGTTGACTACTCCTCTAAACACGTATGCAATCGGAATTGAATCAGAAGAAAAACCTATGATGTACACGTCGTTATCCGAAAGGGAAAAGGCTTAAAGCTCACGATACGTGCCTCGAGTGGCATGCGCAAGAAGGGTCTTTTTTTCGTAAACGGCTGGAGTGTATATTGGGTTCACACGCCGGCCTCACAGCCACAACAGAGGCGCTTCCCCCGTTCAACCGTCGCCGTGTCCATTAGGTGCGTAACGGCGAGTCGAAGCGTGTATATGCAATCCTCACATGGCAACCGTTCACACACACACACAAAAAAAGATCCCCCGCGTATAGCCTCAACAGACTTTTGGGGGCAAGTGCTGTTAGCGAGTAACACCTATAAAAACCGGCACGGCACACGATGGGGTGGTGTCGCCAGCACCACGCCCGGCAGCCTTTGCCTTCATAGTGGTGAAGGCAAAGGCTGCCGGGCGTACCTGCTACACTCCGTAGCAGGTACTCATTTGAGGCTGAGTCGATCTAGGGGAGGCCCCAGGACTGGTTCTGATAATCGTCACTGGGGTCACAGGGTTCGTAGCGCAAAGAGCTAACCTCTGCTCCACCGCTCCCCATAAGGGTGAGTACACACACACTATTACACAGAGCATTATGTAGATCACGGACAATTAAGGTCAGCCATGGTCATAGGCATTGCAAACTGACAGGACGTGAAAGAACAGGCCAAAGAAACATGGGCAGTCGTGGAATTTTTCGTTCATACGGCATACATTACTGGTGTTGTTTTTGTGATCAAATTAATTTGTTTTCACACCCACTACAAGAACATCATTAAGCCGCCACCAGTGGTGGTGAAGTAGTCGTGTTCCCGGACCGGCTGGGTAAAGTGGACGTCCTCCACACCCGCTCCCAGACACGAGAAGCAGCGGGGATAAAGATAGCCACGATTCTAGCAATTAAAAAAAATTGCACATTTAAAAAAAAATTCACATATATAATAAATGCAGGCACTCATGGGTACTGATGCCTATTAATGGGCCAAGTGATGACTTTGGCGAGTGTTGCGCGTTGGAGAATATGATAAAACGATAAAGAAGTGTGTCTTGAGCTGTCAGCGGCCCTGGCACGATTTCGCTATGCTCACATGTTGTGCCAAGCGAACACAACAACACCGAGGTGTCCACGAGTGGGAATATATTTGGGGTCCATCAGCTGCGTGCAACTCTCAAAGCCCCTCTCGTTTGTCCACCCCTGCCAAAAGTGAGCGCTTTGTTCGGAATAAAAATCATAGCAATACAAAGTCTGCGTTTTTCTTCTTCTTTCTGTTAGAAACTGCCCATAACTGTTGTTAAGTGGTAAAGTCTTTGGTTGAATTAGTGTTATCAATGCGAGTTTAACCTTCACTTTTTTTTTCCAGACAACGGCAATATAATGAAAGATCATTGCTGAAAGTTTACGGGGTGGTATTGGAAACACCTGAAAACCCATGTAATGATGTCAAATCAAAGATCGTAGCACCCCATCGTAGCCTTTAACGGGCTGTTTGGGGCCAGTGCTGTCAGCAAGCACCTATGAAGGCACAATGCACGAGGGGGTTTTGTGGCAACCACAATGCCCGACTGACCAACCGCCTTTGTCTCCAGAGCATTGATATTTACACAACGCACCAGGTACTCATTTAAGGCCGAGTTGACGTAGCAGAGGCCCATGACCTGCTCAGATAATCACCACTGATGTTAAACATGGTTGGGAATCAAACTCGGACAGCCGGGTTTGTGGCACTGTGTGCGAACCACTACACTACCATTCCCCATGTATATATGTGTGTATATATATAAACACGTGTATATATACACATTTACAGGGTAATTTACGTAAATTAAAGCTTTGTGTGGTTGCGATAATGGAAAAGCCATCTTTGTTCCAAAAACTTCCACGTGCGATGGTGACTTCACTCATTGTGCTCATGTTAGATGCCGAGTGTCCTTAACCTTGGCCCTTAAATTGAAATTTGGTGTCTCAACCTCGTAATTCAATTCCAGATGGAGATAAAATAAAAAAAAATTTTGTGGACTCTGAACCAATTATATCTGAGCATTTGTTGAGGATGTGGTACAACTTAACAAAGGGAAGAGCAAATTCTTTCTGTCAAACACACATAATGTGTTCCAGCAAATTAACATGATGGTAACCTCAATAATTAGGATTTTGTAGATATGTATGATACCGGGAGAGTGGTGGCAAAGTGGTTAGTGCACAGTACAAGAATCCCTAGGATGTGAGTTCAATTTTCGACCACGGCTAACATCAGTGTCAAATTATATCTGAACCAGTGGTGGGCAAAACCTCTTGACCAACTTGTATTGGCCAGTATGGTGAAGTATGGCTAAACAACCCCCACCAGTAGCAACAGCATGGGGAGGCCTTCAACCAGCAATGGATCTACAAAATGCTAAAAACTCGTAAAATATTAAAATACACCACACATATTCAACAAAATAAATAAGTTAGCACCCACGGTACAAACCTGTAATGGTGTAATTCTAACGTTGATAAAAAAAACCCAATTAACTGCGTGGCAACACTGGCTGAAATCTTGATTTATAGTTGCAATAATAAATCAACTGACAAGGGTTAAATTCAAACCGTGCCACTATTCACGCTCGGCAAGAGGGGAAGGAGGGAGAGCTTCAGACCTGATTGATGTCGAGGGTGAAGTCACAGCTTAGCGGTCGCACGGAGGCTAAGTTATTGGAGCCGATGAGCGTCGAGATAATACCATTCTCGTCGATTCTCCGGATCATCGTCCCGTCCACAAAGTAAATGATGCCATGCTTATCCACTGCCACACCTGCACCGACGGCACACCGGGAACAAAGGCAGATGGAGAGAGAGATCAAAACGCATGGCTCACACAAGTCAGTCTTGTAACAGAATTATTATTTAATATTATTATTTTCAGGAGCTGCAAATATTGTGTCCGACGGTTTTCATCTCGGGAAGATGACTTCAGAATGTGTTCACATTATAAATCTGTTCAACCTGAGAATTGGGTAGAGTGATGGAGCACGGTTACCATGCTGTGCTACAAACCCAACAACCAAAGTTCAGTTACTGGCCACGGGTAACATTCGTGGCGAGGGATACGCAAACCAGCCTTGAGCTCCACGTTCACCAGCTCTAACTGAGCAGCACGGTGAAGTATGGTCAAACAATCCTTGTGACCCGGCAATGCCGTGGTGAGGAACCTTCTCATCTAGCGGTGGATTGATACGGAGCCGGTGCATGGATACGTACACGTGCACGCACGCACCTGAGGGCTAATGCCTTTGCGCGCATGAGATTACCCCTCCAGTTTCGCGTCAAAGCGCGTTCTCTTTACACGGTCGTTGCAATGAAATCTAAGCAGCCGTCGGCGCTTCCGCGCATTTCCTCTGTCGATGCCGAGAGCGAGCGCGAGGCAGTGGCAGGCAGCCTTGGCGTGACGTGGATGGAGTGCGCGCGCCGCTCCAAGGCTTGCGTAGTCGAGCGTTGTGAGCAAGTGCGATTCCGGACAGCGAGCCGGATATAACCACTTCCTCTGGCTCTTTATAAAACGAATGGTAATTGAAATGATGCTGTAGAAGATTGAGAATGTAAAAGAGTAGGTGACTGATTTTTCTGTTTCACTGCTGGATGAAGGCCTCTCCCCCTCCCCAAGCTGGCACCATCTCTCACAATCCTACGATGAAATAAGTTTGGTAATTTTTTTTCCCAAAGGAATAATATGAGGATGATTTGAGACTATTGCGTCACATGTGATGCACCACTCCGTGGAATTATATCGGATTAAAAAAATAATTTCAGGAAAAAAACCTCATGTATAGAGTAGCTTCCAACGAAACAAAAGCACAAACAAAGCACGGTATATTTAATTAACGGCGGCCTAATCCACAAACATGAATATTTATAAATGGTGGAAAAAGAAATGATATAAATGCAAGCTCCGCAGAGATAAGCATACAAATTCAAAAATTAAACACCCTGCTGAAGAAGCACAAACACGCAGGTTTTATAGATCGTAATTTTTTTTAGCATAAAACAGCCATTAGTGCGTTGCAATGGAAGATTGGAAAAAAAAACATTACTGAATGGATGGTTAAGTTGAAGTTTGATTGGATTTGGAGAAAATATGTTTTCTGAATGTGACCGTGATAACAATGGCACATTCTGTTTTTTTTGAACGCACAATTAACGCTTCCCCAACATATATTTTTTTGCTGGCCGATGAATTATTCCAGAAATGACATCGGGTAGACTGTTGAGAAGGTCAGATGGGCTCGGGCCAGATGCGTCACAAATAGAGATGAAGGCCGATGGGTCAAGGACGGCGATAGAATGGCAGCCGAGGAATTGAAACGCTTCCAACGGCTCCGCCGCCTACTGAGGAGATGGAGCTATGAAATTTAGCTTGTCCGTTAGGTGGCTACGTGGTTTTGCTATACTATACGGGGAGCAGTAGTTTAGTGGTCAGTGCACTGCACCGTAAACCCACCCACCCAGGTTCGATTCCAGTTCACGACCAATGACAATGGAGAAAATGTAAACCGGTCCTGGACCTCCCCTAAGTCGACTGAGCATTAAATGCTGCTTTGGTGTGTGAACATCAGCACTGGGAAGACAAACAGGCCCCGGGTGTGGTGCTAATCACCCACCCCTTCGTGTGCCGTGCTGCCCTTCATCAGTGCTCGCTAACTGCACTTGCCCCAAGAGTCTGTTAAGGCTACGGGGGGGGGGGGGGGGGGGAATCTACATTTTTTTTTATCATACCGCAGGATCAGGAGAGATGCAGGCGGTTTATGGGAAGGCCTTCATCCAACAGCGGATTGATCATGGCTGATGATGATGGTGGTGTATAATTCCATGCACGTACGTAGCCAACCGTGCTAATCCACGATGGCAAATCACTTTCGGCCACAATGATACCGTTGCAACACAGTGTGCCGGGGGCCGTCACACGCATGGTCCGAAGGCCACTTGCCCACAATCCCGGAGATGCGGGAATTTACGTCGAGATGGTAGAGAGGGCTAACGAAAGGAATTTCCTGCGTTCAGTGTCTCACCCCTAAAGCAGCGGCAGACAAAGGCGGAGGGAGGAAAGAGGTAGGGGCAGAGTAGGTGTGGGTGCTCAGCACTCCAGTGGGAAGACCTGGTTTTTCAGTTGTGTGGGTGGTTTTTCTTTAGTTTTTTTTTCTCGTTTGACATGAAATGCCATCTTCCCACAGAGTGGAAGGGCCAGATCTATCGCTCTCGGTATCAAACATCAAAACGGTCCAGAATTGAAATTGAACATTTACATGTACTGATACGTAGCAAAAACGTTACGGTGAAAACAACTTTGGGAAACATAAACACGCCGGTGGAAGCTACATTCATGTTTTGTGTGAGTCTGGTCATGTCAGAGAGCCAAAGTAATCGTAAAATATATTTGTGATAAACGGTTTTGGTTTCATTGTCAATCAGCTCCTGGGTGAATGTCTCCTCGTGCTATTTAATCGTGAAGGTTGATTGACCATACTTCACCACGCTGGTCAGTATGGGTTGGTGAGTGGGGCCCAGGACCAGCTCAGACATCTCAAGCTAATAGCGTTGGTTCTGGCTGGGAATCGATTCAGTTCAGCCAATGTTTTTTTTTTGCTTCAGCGTGGGTAATAATTACAGCTAGATTGCAGGAATATTAAGGAAAACTAACAAGAGCAGGAAATAACACAAAATGCAGATGCAAACACATACATTCGAACATATGGCAAGTACTCCGCTGGCTCTGAATGTACCACGGCACATTCAAAGTGAGACAAGCCCGTGCACACGTGGTACATTACCAAGTCGCGTTGAGCTCAGATGAAATCTGTTGCTCCTTTACATTGCAGGCAATCTTCGTCGAAGCAGAGTGCTGCTATCCATAACCCCCCATCACTCTAACCCATCAAGGTCCCAAAGTGCATGGAGTCTCTGTCTAAGCGGCCAGAGTCTCTCTCTACTCCGTCTTCCGATCGGTCCTCTTTTCACTTTGCCTTGCGTTTGTTTCTGTCCCACCAGTGCTCGTGGTAACTCCTTAAAGTAGGTGTCCTAGCCATCGCAGCCCTTTCTTCTTGATAACATGACTGCCTTGCCTCTTGTCCCCATCCCATCTGTAGGCGCCTCCGTTGGCCTACTTTCATTTGCCAATTGATTCGCGGGATCTTACACGGGGCAACGCCGTTCAAATTCACAACGTTCAATCGATGCCTACTTCCAGACCCCACCCTCTATCGCCAGGCTTTTGAGTGACACTGAGAGCTTGGGTCCCGCACCTCAGAGTCTTGGTCATTTAAGTTACGATATCGACATGGTCACCAGATTATTAAATCATGGTGCGCAGTTTGCCACACGTACAGGAATGTCCAGAGTAATAAACACAGTGGTGTGATTCTTACCACGCTAGACCTTGCAATTCAGTGTAAAAGACGAGGCAAAGTGCTCTCTACGGCTCACACAAGTGGAAGATCATCTGGCAGCCGTGGCATGTGAGCAAGCAAGCTAACAATTACAAAGTATCGTTCAGCGGCCTACACGAGTACGCAAGACAAAGATCCCCCGTATAGCCTTAACAGACAGTAGTAGCAAGTGTTGTTAGCGGGAACCTGTGAAGTCCGGCACAGCACACGAGGGGTTGGGTGGCCAGCACCACACCCGACAGCCTTTGTCTCCCCAGTGGCGATGTTTACACACCGCACCAGGTACTCATTTGAGGCCGAGTTAACCTCTGGGGGCCCAGGACCGGTTAAGATAATCGTCATTGGTGGTGGTCGTGAGCAGGAATCAAAGTCGGGTCGCCGGGTTCGTAATGTTGCGTGCTAAGCACTACACTACCATGTGTACATGGGTACACACACAAGACAAATATCCCTCGTATAGCCTCAACAGACTGTTAGGGCAAGTGCTGTTAGTGAACACCTATGAAGGCTGGCACGGCACGCGAGGGGGTGGGTGGCCAGCACCAGGCCCAACAACCTTTGTCACACGATTACACACACACACACAGAGTACAGTACAAAGTCCCTTACACAACACGGTACGGTGAGGAGGCAGTGTGCCGGCGGTGAGAGTGCGCCGTTGCGGCGAGTACCGCGGGGGTTGGTGAGCGAGGCGTTGACCGCCCGTCCGCCGTCGCCGCAGCGCGTCTCGTCGAGCGGCAGGCACTGTTCGCCGGTGCCGGCGACCACCTCCCCGTTGGACGTCAGATCGCCCACCCTGCCCGTGAGCGAGCGCACGCGGTACAGGCGCCGGCTGTTGGTGTCCGACACGTAGAGCCAGCCCGACACGGGGTCCACGGCCAGGTAGTAGCGGTGCGACGGGTTGTTGCTGAAAGAAAGCAGGGGAGGAGCGCAGGCCCAGCGTCAGTCTGCGGCAGGTCGAGGACCCTAGAGGAAATTCCAGCGTCGGACTCCAGTGCAAAATAACGGGACTCCTGGACTTTGAGAAGACGACGACGTGCCGGTATCGTCGCCCTCATTAGCCGCGGCCTATCCGGCACCGCACCGCGCGAACCCCATTGTACATTCGCACCTCCGATTAGCGAGGTTGGCTTCGTACGGTGCGGAAGAAGCTCAACGTACACACATACGTATGGATGTTGCAAAGCCACACCGCAAAACGTGCAAAATGCGTTACGTGCAAACACACGAGCCTCGTTACACAGAAGCACATGCGAGCAGGGCACTCACCTGTGCCTCAAGTCTTTGTTTCTGGACACGGCGAGGAAGCATTGGGAAAACAAGAAACAAGCATGAACATATCCGCAGGTGCACGAGTGTGCCATGCCGCTGCAGATACAAGTTTTTTTTTTCTTCCAGGTACAGTACAACGTCGCGTATCCGACTCGAGAAAACCGAGGTATACCTGGATACGTGAGAAGGTCGGATTTGTGAACGCCTACAGGAAATGAGAGTGACACCGTTTGCAAATAGGCTACTGGACACGAGGTAAAGCTTTTGGCTGGCCATCGAAGAAGGATGGTCACTGCATCGCGTGCTTTCAGACGCACTTCGGCGGCCGTCTGGACCGCTCTTCCTTGGGATATCAGGAAGCCACTGGAGCTATGCACTTTTAAATCTGAATTGAAAACTAATTTCTTTAGAACTGCTTTTTGTGTTTAGTTTGTTGTCCTTCCTCTGCACCTCCCATTAGCGCGGTTGGCTACGTACGGTGCGAAAGAAGTTCAGTGTCCATAATATAGGTTTGTCGGGTTAGATCGTGTAAATTTAAATGTGTCGTTAAAACCCGCCACCACCCCAAACAGCCAATTAATGAGGTTTATCACGTAAACAGAACGTAGCCAATTCGTTACTTTACGTGATCTAACCCCAAAAAACCCTATATTATGGATGATATTGGCCGCGAAAGTCTACGTGTGAAAGTTCAATGTGCATACATACAAAGTGAAAACAGCTTTAAATATTTGGAAGTGCTTCAGTGTGGTTGAAAAGGAAGCGAATGCACGCGCCGGGACACGAGTACACGACCGCATGTGAACAAGTCGGGATTGTGAACATGTTCAAGAAATCTACTAAAACACAACACAGTTGTCAATAGCACTCACATAAAAGGAAAGAAAAAATGTATGTGATAGGCAACGTTTCGATGTTCCTGGCAATGCCCCTTCTTCCTCTGCCATGACCAAGGGCCCTGGCCTGAAACGTTGTCTCTTGTAGTTTTTTTTTACTCTTTATGGTGGTGTAAATAATAATGCTTTGATTACATATAATTATTTATGCAAACTGAATCTCAAAACGTTGAACATTGTAAACACATTTACATCACAAACGGACTAGAGGCACAGCACAAATATGATACCGGGTACGGAGATGAACACAACACGAAATACGTGCGACGACATTCAACAAACGCCGAACATTTGAGAAAGTTGAGAGAATAATAATAATACATTTGATCTTATACGGCGCCATTCGTGACAAATGTGATTAGTTATTTGTTATGCGTGCTTGTGCACTCACTGTCAACGGATTATCACTTTTGTTGTATAATATTATGACTCAATTATTATTACACAGTACAATAGCAACATTTACATTATGAGACCTCCTTTGCCAGTAACAAGATATAGTAATAGGTTTTTACCCTTTTAGCTGGCACAAAAACTGACACCTTTATACAAGGGATAATGTTTGCAATAACCACAACACAAGCAGTCAAAATGCAAACAAAAAGAAACAACTCTAATAATAATATGCACTGTCCTTGAATTTGATTGGTCCACACCCGAGACGTCTTTCTTTAGAGTCTAGTCTCCACTGGTGTTGGACCAGAAGACGCCAAAAGGTGCACAACTCAAAAACAGCGCACTATCAGAGTCTCGGGTGTGGACCAATCAAATTCAAGGACAGTGCATATCATTATCAGAGTTGTTTCTTTTTGTTTGCATTTTTGACTGCTTGTGTTGTGGTTATTGCAAACACGATCCCTTGTATAAAGGTGTCAGTTTTTGTGCCAGCTAAAAGGGTAAAAACCTATTACAATAGCAACATTCACCACATCTACTGGCAGATGGATGCCCATTTGCAGGTCAGGTGCTGAGTCACCTTGTGCCCACGGGGGACAGCTGCTACTCGGGGTGCCCTTTAAAATATTTCAGATGGGATGCGATGTGTAGCGCCCCACTGTCAAAAAAATTACGATCATTATCCTCATAGAGGATATGACAGTTACACCTCGCACACAAACACCACACGGGGAGTGGGCGGATGATTGGTCACAGTGGACATCCGACAGTCGGATATATGCAACGTTTGCACCGCATGTGTACAGCCGCAACGGCGGAGTGAAACTGGCGAGGTTTTACGCTGGGCATTAACCCAATGAGAAGTGACTCTCTGCGAGTTGACGCTTTTAGCCGATATCAAAGCAGGGTGGCTTTTATGAGACGTCTTCCAAAGGTTGTGATAAAAATGTTTTTTTATTAAATCTGCATGCTTTTTTTCTTCTTTTCTCTAATGAAGTTAACCAGTCGTAATAGTTTTGTTTGAACACTGTTGAATTGCATTATAAAAAGCATCCCCGCAAATGCCCCATCAATATTGTCAGATTTTTAAAGGGCTGCCGGCTCGTGTGCAACGATGCTGCTTGGCTTTGTAAAGCGTTTATGGGCATGTTTATATCCTGCGTGAAATGAACAGAAAATTTAGCATTGTACTTTGAGCCTTTAAACTATGGATACTTGCAAAAAAAACCCCTTTTACTTTTTACGCTTAATAACCTGAAACTTTTTTTAGTTTGAGGGGAAAAAATAAGCCGTTTAGCAATTTTCACATTAATAAATGAATTGCATTGCCCACCAACACATCAGAACAGCTTATACAATGTAATTGTTAAACCTTATCTGCACAGCAATTTGTTTGAATCTTGGAAGATGTATGCACACAATTATGCCCTTTTAGGGTAGGTCAGCGAGCGGGAATTTGTCTATATTTGTCTATATTAAAAAAGGACTCGAGCGGGAGACGGCTTTACCCACAGCCTTGCTAATTTGCCAGAAGAGCGATTAAGGAATGTATGAAATTGCGCTTGTCTAAAGACACACACAAATAACCCCCACCCCTATAGCCTCAACAGATTGTTGGGGCAAGTGCTGTTTGCGATTGGCGCCTATGAAGGCCGGCACGGCACACGAGGGGATGGGTGACTAGCACCACGCCCGGCCGCCTTTGTCTCCCCAGTGGCGATGTTCAGACACCACACCATGGCAATCAAATTAAGGCTGAGTCAACCTAGGGTAGGCCCAGGATGGGTTCAGGTAATTGTCACTGGTGTTGGCCGTAAGCGGAAATCGAACTCGGGTAGCCGGGTTCGTAGCGCGGCGCGCTAACCATTGCAAGACTGCTTTCCCCACTGCCACTTCCCACAAGACACACACGTGCACTCACTACACACGTACACACACTACATTTTTACAACCAAAAGCAAATATGTAAATTCGAGCAAACCGAGAGGGGAAAATGTTGCATCTCTGTTTACTTATTGATCTCATTTAAGCTATAATGTTGTTTTAAGTGGGTATTTACACACAATATTAACACTTACTAATTATTCACATTGTGCCATTTGCCCCACATGTGAACGGGGCCTGGAATTTGCTCTCAAGGTATCAGCTGAACAAGAAAATTAAACTCAAATACATTTAGCATATAGACTTGTTCATGCACTTACACACACTATAAATGCAGAATAAGATTAGATAATTTATATACATTCAGTATTTGCTACAGCAAAATATTTAGCTTGGCTTAAAAGCACAAATGAACCCAATTTTCCAGGTAAACATTGTCCACACCCCCCCAACCACCAACATCTACAAACGCTATTTTAACCGCTGATGTGAATAAATGACAACGCAATTCAACCATAAACCACTGGAGCTGTTATTTTGTTAAATACATCATATGATTCACGCAATTGAAAGTTTTGTACAATTTACTTTCTAAGATACGGGCAAAACTTGCACTTCAACACTTGGCGCTCAGCCCAGACTTTGCGTTATTGCCGCACATTATTGAGCCACCCTTAAAGGCGCATTACACACTTGGAATACCATCAAAGTGCCGCTGTGCATAATTGCCACTGAATTACATTTTAAAACTTGAAGGCCCACTTAACGGTCTGGCTTGCCTTGCTTGCTGTTAAATAAGATAATGCAGAGGCAGCGATGGCCATTAACACCTCTTACTAGAATAATGTTTTATTTAGCACTGGTTCATGCTACCTTGATAGTACCATTATCATCCGCCACACAGGGACGACCCAATCCCTTGAGAGCAAAACAGTTCAGCAAGTATAAATGAAATGCTTTAATATTTTATTTTAAAGCTGACAAAACAGAAAACCAAAGCGTACAACTGGTTTATTGCATTTCGATATGCAAAATGGCTTGGCATGTGACGTACACAGATGCACACGCGCGGGCGCGCACGCACGGGAACAGGCACGGTATGGAGCTTTGAACGATTCAAAAATATAAACGAATGTGGATTTTGCATTGTTAGTGTCACATTACTCAGAGGTATGTGTGTTTCGTGGCTGATATTAATTGAGTGCAACTTTACACATACGTAGTTTTACACTAAGCCGATCGGTACAGTATTTTCCATTTGCAATCTATATTACATATTGGCAAAGCTCATCTAACGAGGCTTTTAGATTGTTGATGGAAGTGCTGTTAGCAAGCGGCATCTATTAAGGCCACTATAATACCACTGTTTCCGTCACGACATAACGATTCCCATATTCGCGTTAAAGCGCATACGCTGTGTAATTTCTTTATACAATTGCGTCCATAAAGGTGTCAAACAATGTTGAAGAATTATAATTAGACGGCAGTTTGAGCAAGGTTAATAAAGCAATATATATACACGCACACATACACACTGGGTAGTGTGAAGATTTTATCTCACTACTCTCAGCCTTCTAATCCTCCACGTGTGTCACCATGGCTTTGGCAACACACACATTATTATAATAATTATTGTACAGGAGTTTCCTGCCAAGTTGTCATAGTAGGGGGAGGGGGGGAGGCGATGTTGCTGCCGTGCAATCGCAATTGAGGGTTCCGCAAAGTTTTCGTAGTAGCGTACGGCAAAATAGGACCATTACGGATAGGTGTGTCTTGTACAAAATAATACAATTGGGTCAATGCTTGCCCACTTGCCATCACATTCTATTAGTGGCCTTTGATAATGTTGCAGAGTTATTGTAGACATGACTTCACGGATAAAAATAAAAAGTTATGAACAGCCAGTCAGAACTGCTGTCAGGATATTTCATAATAAATTGCAATGCACCAGGGTGCCTAAATAGGAACGTTTCAATCAGACCACTTCACCTGCTATGACGTGTGGATCGCACAAAAAATGTGGTGGACGCCAAGAAGCATGGAGAGAGATGCGTGCTGAGAATTAGACTCAAGAGACAGAATGGGGGAACACATGCAATCTGAGACTACAATTCAACTCAGGGGCATAACGTTGACCTTTGAGAAAACCGAGTTCAGGGCAGGAGACGATCGTGGCTGAAATGGTTGCGAGCGAAAGGGCGAAATTGTGGTCGTGGAGTGGCAGCCAATGATGGGAACATGGTCAGAAGGGACAACCGCTGTAGACGGCGCGGTGAGATCAGCTCACGTGTGGAAGTGAGATGGATTGTGGCATTGCAGGATCCTGAGGGATGGCGGCTGGCATGAGAAGGCCTTCATCCAGTAGTCGATAGAAAATGGCTGACGATGAGAATGATGACCTTTACGGACAGCCCATATATCTGGACATTTCACTCTGTCTTAAAAAAAGTGGTTGCGGAATAGGGTTCAATGACTTGCCTGACGAGTGCCTGCCTTTCTACACTGCGTGGATGACAAAAGACCTTTCAGAAACATCGTGTAAAGTAGGTCGCCCACCAGGAGAACAGGAGACAGCACCTTTCATGCACAGTCCCGACAGATCTACAAATGTGTGTTGAACATTACCCACGGGGACTTGCACAAGTATGTTAGCCTGCACGTGCCTGCATGTTCAATCATTGTATAACGATGTTATCCAATTCAACGATCACTCAGTACGTCGCATATCCGACCGTCACATATCGGCCCTGGCCAATTAACCGCCCACGCCACGTGCAGTATTTGTGCGTGGTGCAACCGTCATCTTCTGCAGGTGTCCACAAATCTGGCATTGTCACACGCAGCGGATGTGCACTTAATCTCGCGTACATTCGCTAGAGCACCGTCACGCATTTCGCACCCTCCTACCCCACGCCGAAAGCAACATGCGCTTCATCTTCATCCCGTCACCTACTTGTGCACGGTGTACCTGCCGTTTTCAAGAGATGTTCACGTACCCGACGTTATTCAAGTGTCCCCCTACACCTCAATCCCAGGCTAGTCGGATATGCGACGATTGTTTTGGACAGGTTTGGTAACAACAATAACAACAAAAATGACATTTGGGACGCATCTTTCATCAGATCATGACATTGTATTTTCTTCCACTCACCTGCTCATAGAAAACAAACACACCTAGACCGAGTCAAAGACAATGATCCCCCCCCCCCCACATAGCCTTAACAGACTGTTGGTACAAGTGCTGTTAGCGAGCACCTATGAAGGCCGGCATAGACACTGAGTCAACAGCTAATGGCACACGCAATTCTCAAGTGTAGAATCAACACTCCTCAGCACCGATGGTCCAACCGACACCCTCTCCTACCCTCTCCAAGAGTGGTGGTCGACCGACCAACCAGGGAGAGGGGGGGGGGGCGGCACTGCTCACCTGAGCTCGAAGACACTCGTGACGTTGCCGGACGGGAATATCCGGCGCACGAAGTTGAAGTCGCCAACGTAGAGGCTTCCGTCGGCGGCGCAGGCCAGGCTCATGGGCGCCAGCAGCTTGTTGCCCTCGGCGACGCCGTTACAGCTGGGGCAGGTGATGCTGCGCCGCCGGCCGTTGCCCATGACGCTCGTGATGACGGGCGGCAGGCGCCACACGAACACGTTCTCGCCCGTGCCCTTGTGCATCGTGCCTGCCGGGTGGAGCACGTGGGCGAGCGAGTGGAGCGAAGGAAGGGGGGGATGGGCGGGGGGGCACGGCAGGGAGAAGGCTCAGGCGACGAGGGGGACACACAAGCCGAGGGTACGCACGCTGCGCCACTTTGCGCTGCACAGCGAGAGGAGCTCATTAAGCCACCGCGCGGCACGTTCGTAGCGCCGGCGCGTGCGGCGGTTTACCGAATGTCATGCTGGGTGGCGGAGTGCTTCTCTGTGTTTGTGAGGTAGTGATGGGGGCACGTAAACATTGACGATACACGCCCGTTTTCAAGATACGAGTGGCCAATATTTATATAAATTGTACCAACATTTCATTGTATCTGTGTCCTAGATATTTTGTAAATTTGTGCAAAAGAGAATAGTTCGATGCTCCATTGGATTTGTTCAAATTTTATTTCCGTCAGTAAGGGGGTCACTGCAATGTGAATTATTTGTGGCCACCGCTTCAGTTGCCTTAATGCGTTCACCTATGCAGCGATGCTGCACGATTGTCTGAGGGGGTTGATGGTGGTTTCTCAGGTACACACAAGAGTCCTTTTGTCAATCCATTGCTGTATAATGGCTTCTCCACACCGTGTGAGTCATGAGGGTTATTCGATCACGTCAATGACGTTGGCCAGTGTGGGGCTGGCGAAGGCACAGAACATAGACATTGGAGCACAGTAGAGTACAACGATATTTTTGCAATACAACAATGCATGTGACACCTGTTTAACGTGGCCCATCAGAATAATTTTCAGGCTCAACCCCACTTGGCTTTGAGAGACTGGACGAGATGGGGCGAATGCCGGGCGACTTTGTCACGGGCCAGGGTTTAAGCGACCTTGGCCTTTGACGGGCTGGACTGTGGCCAAAGTGACGACCACGGCTTTGGTGAGCAAAGGGCCCCAGTGTGCCCCAGCGTGCGACGTCGGCACGGCCACTCACCGCTAGGCACGTGCAGCGCGTGGTGGTTGCTCAGGCCCCAGATGCCCAGGCTGGAGGCGTCGAGCTCAAGGCCCTGCAGGATGGCGACGCGGTTCTCCCACAGGATCAGCTCGGGGCAGGACTCGTACTCGTATCCGACAGACACTAGCTGGGGAGCACATCCACACGCACGAGCGCACGCCACGCTCGCCTCACGACGACAACACGCGGGCGGGCGGGGGGGGGGGGGTGGGGGGGGGGGGGTGCGTGACCGCGGCACGATCGCGGGACATGGGGAAAACAAAGCGAGCGGGGAAGCTGGCGAAGCATGCGCGCAGGGTCACGGGCGCTGCCGCCACACGCCCAAGGCCCTTGTGTGTGTGTGCGCGCGCGTTTATTTTCTGTACGGGATTCACATGAAAAGGAAAAAAGGAGCATCTGGGAAAACAACTGGGGAACTTCATTAATCCTACATATCCAGATGGAGGCCCTTAAGAGTGAACGAGGAGGCAGTATGGTGAATAACAACCTGACTTGGGAATTTTTTTCTCTCTCTCTTTCCAAGGGCATTGGTAGATGAAGAAGTAAGGGGGGCATCTCTCCAGGGAGACAAGAGGTGTGCATTGCGCACACACACACACACACGCACTTTGCAACTGACCGTACAAGTGAACACCGTACAGATCCCTCGGAGAAGTATTTGTCTTGGTTGTTTGACCTCGTGTAATATGTAACAATCCCAGAATATATCCTGGAACTGATGCATCGCTGTTCCACATGTGTTTCATAATGCGCTCACCAAAATAAATACATGAAGGAAATAAATAAGGGTTGCTGAAATGCTCACATTATTGTGTTTCAGACCAGCTGGATATTTCTCAGCTCATGGCGGACCAGGAAGATCATTCTTACACGGCCCTCCTTTTGCAATAAAACATTTAAACAGCTAATATTCCACAGGACCGTTTATACAGCTCACACTATGCAAGGCGGAAATCAATCCGAGGAAACCGGAATTTATTTTGTCATTTGCTGGTAGCGTAAGAAAAAAAACACGTTAAACAAAAACTAACATAAAATATAATGTGGGTAAATTATGAGCTATTTTGCATATGCAATGCCGCCAGTATTTACTGTTTCATTGTGCCGTGCTATAATTTCACGTCACTTAGTACAACGTAAAATTTGCGTCATTACACCTGAACATTTTAATGGCTCCGTGTACCCATACTCTAACCGAAATCCAATTTCGAAGGTTAACGAAGCCTAATAATATACGGCTGCTCAGAAAAGCCCTCAGGCAACCCTGGCTTCAGATTTGCTTCAAGAGAGATGGCTTTCTTTGCTTGCATCATCATAGTCATCATTACCTTCATCATCATAACTCGTTTTTGAGCTCACGTATCTCACTTTCTGATACCATTACATTGACATGCTTGGGCCAAGCATTTTTATTCCGTGTAATTCTTTCATCATACATATTTTATTTTCTTATTTCACCAAGTTCTCTCTCTCTCTTTTAGCAGCCTCATCATTAACAATATTCATGGCCTGCGCTTCCTTTCAACACTACGTTCTGCCCAGGTCCAAATGCTCGCATTGGCAGGAAGATGGAAGCCACTGATAATCTCCTCGTTTTCGGTTACAAACTTGTACCGTAAACGCACCGCGGTAAAGTGCGCCCTGTCTAAATAAGCAATCAAGAGTCGTGCACGTTGCGTTAAAAGTGGTAGTATTTTAACTCGAGTGTGACTGCGGACTGCAATTATAAGTTTCAATGTTTTTTTTCTCTTTCCACTAGCCTTTGATGGTGACTGCTTTGAGCAATTCCATTGACTTATGCCGTCCTGTTTTTAACAAAAACACACTATTTGTATTTATTAAACGAGTGTAGTTGGTGGGGGGGGGGGGGGTAGCAGCAAACCACAACTGCCATGCCTTTTATTTTTACAACGTAACGAAATTACGTTTAACCCATAAACAAAAAACAACGGGCACAGACATTGAGGGTGACCTGAAGATTAAAACAAAAATGCAAATACTCTCAAGACACCCACTTAAACCTCTCCGTCTTGAGCTTTGTTTGCGACGTTGCTAATGGAATTGTTCGTTTGAAATGTCAAAACTATTCGAAGCGTTGGCAAAACATCGGCGTATTGCTCTTGCGCCCCGCATCAAACCACGATCGCGCTGTTCGAGGGTTAAACTCCCAGGCTGTCAAAATGACGGAGGCACTTAACAGAACCCCAAAACATTTAATTAGCCAGGACTTCTGGCAGAACACAGAAAAGCTTTTGAGAAACATGCTGTATTGACAGTTTAAGCCGCAAGAGTGCTAGGGTTAAGAATGTCTTCCCATGTCCTGCAGAGAGAGAGAGAGAGACGCCCCACACAGACTGACGAACCTAATAGCTCTTTATGTTAAACGTAAGCCCCCCGGAGAAGGCTCTGCGTCCAGTCCTGAAGCGGCGCGTGCTACCTCCAAGGCACGGAGACATCTTGCGGGACTCTAAAACCTTTGACCCAGAGACACCGTAATTCCTTACACTGCCAACCACACCCACGCTCGTCCGTGTGCGCCTGCATTATGCACGAGCGCGCGCGGCGAAGGCGCTGCCCGATTTATGCTGCAATCAGCGATTATGTAAAAAAAAACGCTCCCGACAGACATTTATCTGCACAGGTGTACGCACATTGCCGCGTTAACGTTTTTGCGTCGTGAAATCGATTTCAATGTTGTTGCTGTTGTCGATGATAATAATGCCAGTCATTGCTGCTTAGGTGGTGACGTTGTTGTGGCGATATTGTGACAATTTGTTTAATCTGTCCTGGATGGGCCACGCACCGACCTGTCCTCGGGGTTTAACATTTATTGACACACAAGACTCCCTGCAGGGTGACTAAGCAAAGCGCTACATCAATGTCCCCGTACTCATCTCATATTGTGTCCAAACATATTGAGCTCCCATGAGATGCACTCTTTTACAAGCACAGCCGACACAAACAAGGGATGTTTGGGCTATTAGCATGAACTCATTTACTTGACCTTTGGGGCTATTCAGAAGAATGCTGGCTAACAGAAGGCCAGAAATAGAGCAATAGCAGATGTGTGACCCATCGCCTCTTATAACCTGGCTCAGCACAAGTGGACCTTTGTGTATATCCACCTCCATCCATACACCTGAGCAGTGCCGCTGGCTGGAGTGTGTTTAGTTTGAGCAAAAGCACGCGGACAGGGAAATTAAAGGTAATGCCGCTGTATCCGTCCGAGAGATTGCGTATTTAATCTTGAAGCCTGGTGAAACGCGGGCTACGCGACACAATAAAGGGAAACGTATTCACTCGCAGCAACGGTGCTGTGATTCTACCAAATGTAATAACGCACTCCCCTTATTCTTACGGCAAAACGTCAGAGACAAGATTTCTTTAAGTCAATTAATGGGCCAGAATTGCAGCTCACGCGCAAAATGAAAAAGCCACATCATAGTGATGAAGGTTCTCGATCTGGCTCGAATGAACGCAGGCACTGCATCTCATCTGCATCAGACACGCAACAAAGGAATTGCTGTGCGTGTCATAGGGCCAGTGGAATAGCGTGCTTCACCGAAACATAAAAACGCATTTGCATTTTCACGGCGAGCGTTCGGCAAAACTTTTCTTCACACTGTCGATTCGCATCGCACGAAAGAATAATTCAACCGCCGTTGCAATAGACACCAAACAAATGTAACTAATTGGTTTCTACTTTTGTTGCTTCTGTTCCATTGTTTTAGCATTCCTTTATGTTCTCATATGAAAATAAGACGGGCACGCTGAATACAAATGCAAATTAGTAGCACAAATTAGTTGCACAAATTAGTTGTTTTCGCGACCAAATTGGTTTTTAGCTTTAGCTTTTAGCTTTCGTGACCGAATTAGTTGCACAAATTAGTTGCTGTCGTGACCAATATTATCCATAACAGAGTTTTTTGGGTTAGATCACGTAAACATACAGTGAGGGAAAAAAGTATTTGATCCCCTCCTGATTTTGTACGTTTGCCCACTGACAAAGAAATGATCAGTCTATAATTTTAATGGTAGGTTTATTTGAACAGTGAGAGACAGAATAACAACAAGAAAATCCATAAAAACGCATGTCAAAAATTGTATAAATTGATTTGCATTTTAATGAGGGAAATAAGTATTTGACCCCCTCTCAATCAGAAAGATTACTGGCTCCCAGGTGTCTTTTATACAGGTAATGAGCTGAGATTAGGAGCACACTCTTAAAGGGGGTGCTCATAATCTCAGCTTGTTACCTGTATAAAAGACACCTGTCCACAGAAGCAATCAATCAGATTCCAAACTCTCCACCATGGCCAAGACCAAAGAGCTCTCCAAGGATGTCAGGGACAAGATTGTAGACCTACATAAGGCTGGAATGGGCTACAAGCCCATTGCCAAGCAGCTTGGTGAGAAGGTGACAACAGTTGGTGCGATTATTCGCAAATGGGGCTCCATGCAAGATCTCACCTCGTGGAGTTGCAATGATCATGAGAACGGTGAGGAATCAGCCCAGAACTACACGGGAGGATCTTGTCAATGATCTCAAGGCAGCTGGGACCATAGTCACCAAGAAAACAATTGGTAACACACTGCGCCGTGAAGGACTGAAATCCTGCAGCGCCCGCAAGGTCCCCTGCTCAAGAAAGCACATATACATGCCCGTCTGAAGTTTACCAATGAACATCTGAATGATTCAGAGGACAACTGGGTGAAAGTGTTGTGGTCAGATGAGACAAAAATGGAGCTCTTTGGCATCAACTCAACTCGCCGTTTTTGGAGGAGGAATGCTGCCTATGACCCCAAGAACACCATCCCCACCGTCAAACATGGAGGTGGAAACATTATGCTTTGGGGGTATTTTTCTGCTAAGGGGACTGGACAACTTCACCGCATCAAAGGGACGATGGACGGGGCCATGTACCGTCAAATCTTGGGTGAGAACCTCCTTCCCTCAGCCAGGGCATTGAAAATGGGTCGTGGATGGGTATTCCAGCATGACAATGACTCAAAACACACGGCCAAGGCAACAAAGGAGTGGTTCAAGAAGAAGCACATTAAGGTCGTGGAGTGGCCTAGCCAGTCTCCAGACCTTAATCCCATAGAAAATCTGTGGAGGGAGCTGAAGGTTCGAGTTGCCAAACGTCAGCCTCGAAACCTTAATGATTTGGAGAAGATCTGCAAAGAGGAGTGGGACAAAATCCCTCCTGAGATGTGTGCAAACCTGGTGGCCAACTACAAGAAACGTCTGACCTCTGTGATTGCCAACAAGGATTTTTCCACCAAGTACTAAGTCATGTTTTGCAGAGGGGTCAAATACTTATTTTCCTCATGAAAATGCAAATCAATTTATGACATTTTTGACATGCGTTTTTCTGGATTTTGTTGTTGTTATTCTCTCTCACTGTTCAAATAAACCTTCCATTAAAATTATAGAGATTGATCATTTCTTTGTCAGTTGGCAAATGTACAAAAGCCAGCAGGGGATCAAATACTTTTTTCCCTCACTGTAAACGTGTCGTGAAACCCGCCACCGCCAGACATCCAATTATTAAGGTTTAGGTTAAACAAAACATGCCAATTCCTTACCAGTACAACACACCGGTGTGTTGGAGAATAAACCCACGGCATTTACAATTTGAGTACTTGTGAATTTACTCTCCAACACACTGGTGTGCTGAACTAGTAAAAAATGTGCAAGTTTCGTACCCGTGACGAACCTTACTAACTGGCCGTGTCGGGTGGTGGGCCGGGTTTAACGACACGTTTCTATTTACGCGATCGAATCCCAAAACATCTCCGTTATGGAAATGCAAATGAGTTGGCGCTTCAGTCGGAAAAAACGCAGAAGCTATCTTTCAGACCTACGTCAACAAATCAGGCCTATCGGACAACGCACTGAGAAAACACGCTTGTACTCGTTTCACAGTGGTGATACCGGATACATTCATAAACTGGGGGGCGCACCCCCACCACAACCGCCAGGCCTCCCCCACCCCCCAACACACCTCCTCTTGAATGCCAGACAATGAAGCAACATTTCTAATGGAAATGTGTGGGTCGGGGCAAAAAAAAAAAAATCGTGAGTGAGGCTTATCGGCATGACACAGAGCCACTCTTCTTCAGCTAAATTAAAAGTAATAATTCCCCCCCCCCCCCCCCCCCCCCAAGTTACTGCTGTCTACACTTGTGCAAACATCAGCAATTATGACTCGCCGTTGCAGTTTGAGCCATTTAATCATGCTCACAAATGCCACGGCACCCTGCGCATGGCCACAATTACCTTTGTTTGATCTCCATTAGCAAGTTCCGGCTGGAAATGCTGATAATGCTTTTCTTTAACCATCTACCCTACGCCGCCGCGCTTTGACGCACGCGGTGAAATTAAACCGCGAGTCGGTCGCTGCTGCGATCAGTATGTGGTTGTGCTGGGGGGGCGGTGAAGGGGATGGGGGCGACCGCACGCCCCTGGGTATCTGGGTATGCTGTGGCTCAAAAAACCAGGCCCCCCGGCTGAGAGCGGACGGACCCTCTTCCCAAACGACGACACAGACGAAGTGACAGAGAGAAGGCGGCGGGGGTCTAATTAACGCCCCCCCCCCCCAATGGGAGAAACAGTTACGGCTACTCGGAAAACCACTTCTGTGCCCCTGCCTGTTTATCGCCAGCGACAGCTTAGTTGTGGATGCCGCGGAGACTCGAGGAGTTACCGCGGTTCATCCCCAATGCAGGTGACGTCCAGGTGTGCGCACACACACACGCAAACACACACGCACACACACATGCACAAACACACACGCGCACACACACACGCACACACACACGCACAAACACACACACACGCACACACGCGCACACACGCAAACACATGCACACACACACACGCACACACGCAAACACACACGCACACACAAACAAAGACAAAACAAAGATCCCCCATATAGCCTTAACAGACTGTAGGGGCAAGTGCTGTTAGCGAGCACCTATGAAGGCCGGAACGGTACACGAGGGGGTGGGTGGCCAGCACCACGCCCGACCGCCTTTGTCTCCCTAGTGGCAATGTTTTACACACCGCACCAGGTACTCATTTGAGGCTGAGTCGACCTAGGGGAGGCCTGGGACCGGTTCAAATAATCGTCACTGGTGTTGGCCGTGAGCGGGAATCGAACCCGGGTCGCCAGGTTCATAGCGCAGCGCGCTAACCGCTACACTATCGCTCCCCACACGCACAAACACACACGCACACACACACGCACAAACACACACACGCGCACACACGCAAACACACGCACACACGCAAACACACGCACACACATGCACACACACACACGCACACACGCAAACACACACGCGCACACACACACACGCACACCCACGGGTGGCGGGATGCCAAATGCATTTCAAACGCAATGACGGAAAGTGGCACGATTGGTGCAATTCACAGCGTGGACGCCAGAAAATGCCGATGTACATGGCGACAACGACCGTTATGTATTCATGTATACGCAGTGCACAGTCAGGGAGCAGTGCCACGGTGCAGTTCGTGCCCACTTCCTTGCTAAGCACCCGGATTCAATCCGTGGCCAAGGCTAACGTCAATGGCGAGCAATGTCTGAACTGGCCCCTAGCCTCCCTTCCTCTTCTCCAACCCGCACTGACCGGCACGGTGAAGTATGGTCTAACAACCCCCCTGGCTGACATAACCTTTCCCCCCCGCATCTGAAAGACAACGGCTTAAATTCACATCGTAATTATCCTAGGTAAGTGCACAGCAGCAGCAAAAGTGCAAATTACGTAAGTATAAAGCTATCAATAAAAAGTGAAGATTAATACAAAAAATAAAGTACCTGAGTTATTTACAACCTAACTGCGTCGGGTTTTCTTTTTTTAACTAGGAGAAGCTTTCTCTAGCACATTCCCCGTGATGTTTAATCGTTCTACGCTGTGCATTAGCGCCTAACGGCGGGCACGCGCGGTCATTAATCACAGAGCGGCGGAACCGAAACGGAGAGCGCGGTGTGACGAGGCAGCGGCGCCTTTGTGTTGCGTCCTCGCGCGTCCGACCGTTCACCTACAGCTTCGGCGATGCCGTAGACGGGCTGCCCGTAGGCGTTGGTCTTGTCCCAGATGAACGTGTGCCGCAGGTTCGGCGCCGACGGGAACCAGGTGCGGAAGAAGCGCCCCTCCACGGCCACCGACAGGTGGACCTTGAGCAGGTTGAAGGGCACGCTGGCCGGCGTGAGTCTGACCGATAGGCGCGAGTGGTACCCGGGAGCGCGGCTGCTCACGTAGCGCAGGTGCAGCTCGGAGCCGGGCAGCGTGATGCTCTCCTGCACGGCCTGGAATGGGGAGACAGCAAAGATCCCCCGGGTAGCATCGACAGACTGTCGGGGCAAGGGCTGTTCGCGAGCATCTATGAAGGCCGGCACAGCACATGAGGGGGTGGCTGGCCAGCACCACGCCCGGCCACCTTTGTCTCTCTAGTGCCGATGTTTCCACACATGACGAGGAACTCATTTGAGGCCGAGTCGACCTAGGGGAGGCTCAGGACATGTTCAGATGATCATCACTGGTGTCGACTGCGAACGGAAATCCAAATCGGGTAGCTGGGTTCGTCGCGCAGCGCGCTAACCGCGACACTACCACTCCCCACAGCTCATACACACGCATACGCATACGGGCACACACACAACCCGAGACGGATCCCGCAGGGGTTCTTAAAAATTAAGTAACGGTTAGGTTGGTGCCTGTGCCCGTGACGCAGCGCTGGACGAGCAGGATCAACGCACGTCCTCCCCGATTGGGGGTTGGCGCGCGAGGGCGATCCGTTCGGCGGACGTCAGCACGGTCCATTTGTGAGGTTGTCGTGTGCGTCGGAGAGGGGGGAGGGGGTGCCGGCGTGGCAAGGCCTCGTTAATCGCGGAGGCTGCTAGGCGCCATAACCGCGCAAATGGCAGTCGAAAAGTTTTGATAATAGGATGGCTGAAATACGCTGCCGAAGCCGGTCTCGTTTTAAGCCGATTTAGATGCCTTATCTCTCCCGTGTCCAATTGTGTAACGAGTGACTGGGCTGCCAAGGATTACTGCATTGAGAAAAAGTAAACAGATGCAAATCCGCACTTAATATCCGAGTCTCAATGTGTTTTGATCCCCCCCCTGGTTACCCGAGGAGACGGCCAGCTCAAGACTGATAGCCACTGTTGCCTGTTGAACGTAATTACTAAATTGTTTGCAATTGCACAAATAAGACAAATTGCATACGCAAAAACAGATTAGGAAATAGATAAGTAGATGCATACGTAAACACAGGTTAAGCTTGGATAATGCCTTGATAGGTGGCAACCATGCAAAACAGGTGATATAGGCTACAGGAGATTGCCACGTTGTAGACAGCAGATGGCAGTGGAGAAAAATCGATTGTTGTACTGTACTTCTATACTCCCATGTCCTGCGCTCCACACCTTCACCAACCGGCGCCGACCAGCGTGGTTAAATACGGTCAAACATGCCCGACAATACGCACGGCATGCGGATGCCTCCTTCCAGCAACGGATTGACAAACCGCTGTACGTGCACATCTGAGAAAAAGCGTGGATTTAACCAGGTATACTAAGTAGGTAGAACGGAGAAATGGGAATAAAAGTTTGGTAATAAAAAAAGAGGAAAGTGCCAATAATTTACAGGACTTTTGCACAGCTGTGTTTTGTGTTAGGGAATCTTGGAAGGCTGCACACTGTGGGCTTATGAAAAAAACAGACGGTGTTAAATGCCAAACGCAGGCCCAGATGGTGTTTTAAAGAGCACAGCGGAGGTCCACAAATCATTTAAATTGCAACCCACCACCAAACAAACACAGAACTCCACATCTGCAGATCCCACGACTTGATAATGCACATGGCCATGCTACAAACACACTCACTCACTCTTTGAGTCCAGCCAAATGTGTTACTTGTCATAACTGTCCAAAAGCTATTACTATTTTCCGTGAGTTCTTCAAGACAAAAAAGTAATACGCATTTTTTTACTTCTCTCTGTATTTTAAGAAACATTAAAGTTATTTTTTGTAAACAGTGGCCTCTTAATATGGTGAGTTAAATATATATTTTATTTGTGCATAGGCCAACTCTCAGAGTTTTACATGAAAAAATATTTGATAACAAGTGCTCACATTGTTTTTCCACCGGGCACGAGCTTGACTTAGCGGAAAACCCTGAAGTAGACCGAGTGGGGGTCTCCCCCATACCAGGTACTCAGCAAGAAGCATGTCATAATACACTACCTATGCTCACCAGCATGGTGAAGTATGGTTAAAAAAAAGAAGCCTTCCCGTGACTGAAAATTCCTAAACTCCAGCAGCTCTGTAGCAGCAGAGGACAATGATGGATGTGGCAATGGCACGGATAGGCCTTGGTCTAGCAGCGAACAGATCATGACTGATAATGATGATGATGAAAACGAGTGCTCAAGCCAGAGGTAAAGGCGCAGCTCTGCGATTAGCACGGTTGGCTACGTACGGTGCGAAATAAATTAAACGGACACACATACACGGCCACTGCTGGCAGAATGGCCTCTGTAACAGGGGACTCTACAGAGGCCCTTGAAAGGATAACTTGGCCTACTCTTCCACACTGGCCAGATGTCTTGGAAGAGGTGGAACTACCCACACGTTACTCCCACCACACGTGCCCTGCCCAAAGACCAACCGTGGAGTACCACTTTGTACTGCTGGGTGGACAGAGTCGGTGGGGCGGAATTTTGGTTCAACTGTCACGCCTAGGTAGATGGAATCGAACCGGTGACCTCAGGATTGGAAAGTCGGGCATGCAAAAGCTACAACCACAGCAGCATCGGGGGGGGGGGGGGGGGGGTGGTCAGGGAGGAAATCGCGGGGGTGCACACCGTGTGGGAATTCGCACCAAAGTCGGCAGGTGAAGATCCAACCTGGCTACGTGACGGTGATCCACACAACTAGAGAGTGGCCGCTGCTGCTGTTACGACTGCTGCAGCGAGAAGCAGGTGGTGCAACACCTCTTGCTCTGCCCGCTGCTCGCGGAAGGCCCCCGCACTGTGCGAGATGTCGCAGCAGGCGACCTTGCAAGCGCTGCGATTCTCTCGCCACTCGCCGATTCCTCCGGTCTAAATAAAGATTCCGATTCACTGGAACGACTTTCGACCCCGGTGGACGGACGCGAAAAGGGGAAGGTCCCCGAACGGAGTTCAACGGGTTGGCGGCGGGTGAGATTGGCCCGTACCTGGATCTCGGGTATGATGGGATTGAGCGGGCCGCAGCTGCCCGGCACGGAGGTGAGGGGCGAGGGCAGCACGGATGGGTTGGGCCGCACGAAGCCGCTGACGTCGCAGCTCGGGATGTCGTTCTCCTCGCGGCGCATCACCACCGTGTCCACGACGATGAACCGGTTCCACGGCAACCACACGGTGCGCAGTTGCGCGGTGAACGGCGCCCGCTCGAATTGCAGCGTCACCGAGCGTCCTCCGCTCGCCATGAGGTCGAAGCTGTGGGGGGGAAGGGTCGGGGAACGTGACATCAAACGGGCGCGTGCCGTCACCTCCGCCCGGCATTGCTTACATTCCCCTAAGCGCCGCGCTGCATTGCTCCGATACTGAAGTGCCCCCCACCCACCCCCATCCCCACGCTTAATTTAATACGGAATTCTCAATTGTCAAACCCGTGGGCCGATATCTCAATTGTGGAAATCCACGGACTGTTGAAATTATATATTTATTGAAACCATGGGCACAGGTCCAAAGGCCCAAAATGCGTGTGTATGCTTGGTGCGTTCAATTGGCACGTAACAATGCAATGATTCTTTAATTAAAATAACTTCTTGCAGTCACAAAACTTGGATGAAACTGAATGGAAATGCCGTGCAAATTGCACACAAATGTTACACCATGGGCGATGTGGGGCAGATGAAACTGTACATATGAGGAAAAAAACAACATCACAAATAATGCACACGAGATGGGTAAAAAAAAAAAAACCCAAGACGGAGCACGAGAGGAAATCAAGAGGAGTCCGCGATGCACGACACTGACGCGGCGGTACGTACGCTCCATCTTGCCGCGTCACGGTGTACCCGTAGCTCGGGTAGTGGGGGAAGGATACGTTCACCCCGACCAGTGGGGTCCCGTCCAGCGTCTGCACCTGACCTCGGACCACACACGCCGTCCTGGGGACAAGAAGAACAGCCAATTAGGGCCGGCACGGGGGACGCCGAGGGGCGGCTTGGGTGGTGTGGCCGGGCGCTTGTTCACGCCTCCTGTCCCCAAACGATTACCGCACCCTTCAAAAGGTGCACGCGTGTTATACATCCGTAGACGCGGTGCAAGCTCGTTAAGAAAAAACAATGCAAAGAAATACGGTGGCAGATTCACGAGCCGAAACAAAACAAGAAGCAAATGCTCACGTCTTCTCGTCCCCCGTTGTTTGATAAAAATACCGCCGCCCGTCGGGAAAGGCAATAAGCCTGCCCGGCCACCCACTTGTGGATGTTAAAGATCCCGAGACGCTCCGCAGGGTGTAAGCAATCGCGCTGCCCGTGTCACGTCTAACTTCACCGACCTGCTATAAATCACACTCCTCCCAAGAGAAAGCGGGGGGGGGGGGGGGGTTGGCCTTTGTGTAACGAACAATTACGCTGCGTGACAAAGTTATCCACTGCGCTGCTTCTTAACTGACGTGGACTTTGAGACAGTCCTCTGGCACTAGCTCAACACAGCTGGGTTGAGTTGGCCAAAGCATGAAACTTCAGCATGAACGGCCGAGCAGCTGCTACTCGGTGCTACGAAGGCATTGCTCGCGTCAACTGCCCCGGCAATTGCACTCAGACGCGAGGTGAAACACCCGGCGAGTTACTTAAAACCAAATTAATTTTAGATGTGTATATATATATGCGAAACAAATTCCTTGTCTCATAATCCAATTACCTTTTTTTTATTTCCATCTGCACTCTGTATTCGGTTAAAATAAGGAAACCTTGGCACCTGAGCCAACACCGTTTTTTAACCCCGCGCATAACTTCCATAATTATTCATATTTTCATTAACTTTGTTTTACCCTTTTCTCCCCGCAGATCGTATATTTCTCGCAGGAAAAATAAACCTTCTGCTGCTTTCTCGCGAAGCAAGATTTCTTTTTACCCTCAGCGATGTTCTCATCTGTTTCCAACTTAAAAATCTGACCAGCGTTTCTCAGAGTTGGCATGTGACTTTTTTTATTCTTTGCTGCCAAAAGCCATTTGTGTAAGGTATATGTTTAGTGAAACTCTAGTTTGTTTCAAATAATAAAGAAATTAGTTATTTTATTACGACAAAAAGCCATCTGTTCTGGAATTGCAGATAGCTAAAAAAAGACTCATGTTTTTAGTTCTGTGGAGAGATGGCACTTTGACCTTATCTGTTTATACATTTAACATCTATACAGACACAAATATAAATCATAAATAAATCAAACCAAGCAGACGTTGGCTCTGTCCCTCACAAATCAAGTGCTAGCCATGACTAATTTCTTCAAGTAACTTACGCGTGCTCAAGAAAAATGTGCACAATGCAGGCACCGAATGATACAAATCAAGCGTTCTATGACATTTAGACTAAAATCACATTCGAGCACAACTGTGGCGGGGAGCGCTCGCGATGACAGATGACCGATACGCGGCTCTTTCAGTGGCCCCGCCAGGGTTGAATAAGGAGACTCGAGTTAACAGAAGGCAGAGCCAGAGGATCCGAATCACACCTCGGCATTCTGCCATGGGCCCAGCGTAACATTTCCTAAAGGCGCGTGTCCCAATCAGTCAAAGATTAAGCGGAAGGGTTTCGGAGGCGGTGGGTGGCGACATACGGGATTGCATTGCCACGTTGAATCGCAGCGCCAGTGGACAGAGAGAGAGAGAGAGGGAGACGGGGCTGAGGTGACAAATGCGTGTGCCGCTCGTTAGGGATACTTTTGACTTTTGCCGGCAGCTGTGTGGTCAGGATATGATAAACAAAAATGACAAACCTCAAGCAAGGTGGCCGGGGTGAAGCTCTCCGAGCAAAAGATGCGGCAATAAAAGGCAGAGTGTGTGTGGGGGGGGGGGGGGGGGTGTGACGCCCGCTGCTGCTGCTGCTCCGTGGAGTCGTCCACTCGGAACGCCGCTCGTGAGCGTGTGCGGCGCGAGTCTTGGTGATGGCTCATGGAGCAGTCGGGCTACGAGGGTTTGATTTGATCTGTAACCGTGGCCCTGTACAAACCTTCATTTTGAAATCCGGCATCCGCACGTTGTACGCGTCGCGGTGTGTGTGTGAGACGTACAGCAATTACGTTTTTAAAAAGTGGGTAAAATATTGTCGTCACAAGTGAAAGGAGCGATATTTCAAACACGAATGTCCAGCAAGCAACACACACGTGTCTAACGCGTATATAATGCATCAACACGAGACTTTCACCGTGGGGTAGTGCTTTGCTGTTGGTTTTTTTTATCGTATCGGGGCTGTGAAAGCCAAGCTTTTGTTGGGGGTTCTAAACAGTAACTCTTAGTTGAAAACGTCCCACTAAATATGCACTTCAAAGTTGTCGATACACTTTTATCTTTGCAAAAAGTTCGCCATTTTTGTTACCAACACAAGCGAAATGGTGGAGTGAAAGTAAAAAAAAAACCTTCAGCAATTTTATATGCTGGGGTTTTAAGTCTGGTCTCAATTTTCTTCCTGAAACAACAGAAATACAATACTCTCATCCTCTCTCTCACTCTTCAGAGACATCGGGGAAATCCACCCACACTCGGACACAAGGGCATTGGCAGCCGTGTGTGTGCCTGCTTTAACCCTCCTCCCTCATAAAGCGCTTTAAGGCAATGCTCGCACATGACGAGACAATCAGATCACGCTCCTCCTCTCAAGTATGCAATCACCAGTTCATATCGTCATAATCATCAGGGATGGTTAATCCACTTCTGAAATAAGGCCTCCCCAAATCCGCCACCTTCTCTCGTGATCCCACGTTGTAACAATCCACCCGGCGGCACCAGCGCATGAACCGATTTCATCGCTCCATTTTCTCGGTGTTTTTTTTTATTTGTTCGACTATATTAATGTTAGGGTCAACAATGCCGGCGCCTTACCGCGCGGCAGGTGAGTTCACTTGTACCGCACCGGCGAGGCCCTCATACTCCGCGGATCCCATGCGGAAACAATCGGCGCAGCCCTCGATCGTTTCGAAACCGTGGGCGGCACGGCCTTACTCACTGTGTTCAGAGAAATAAGGATCCCGCTCGCAGTTCAAAAGCCACCGGAGATTTAGAATCAGGATCTTTACTTATCCTGGAGAAATCCGATGAGCTGTGAGGCTCTTTTTCACTGATGTCAATAAGGGCAGGGTCAAACAACAACAAACAATAAAGAAAATGATTGCGGAGTACTAAGTATAGGAATGGTAAGCAAATCACTACAAATAAATAAACTTAAACTATTTTCATTTTACCAGATCAAGCACAGCGAGTTATTAGTTATTTTTCAGAAGCGACCTGGCCACAAATGATAGCTCAATTAAGTGGCTCATCACGTTGAAATATATAGCAGCCTCATACTCCAAATGTGTGATGTTGATTCTAAATGTGGAGGGAAAACACTGGAGGACCTGGGGAAAAAAAATCCACGCTAGCACGGAACTTGACATTAATGTTATTGCAACACTCTCCTCGGCTGGGAAATGCTCTCTAACGTGATTGAAACGTTTAAGTATTTACTTACAAACTTGTTTTTGTTTAAACTTTTTTCTTGTATGCGTCCGATTGAAATTAAACGCCCCCTTCACAATGTGGCGTCTGTGGTTGCGTAACGCAGCGGTTACTTCACAGCGCAGGTTTATTTACATTTGTGCGAGGCTTTATCAGCCATTCTCTTTCCACCGCTGGATGAAAAGTTACCATCACAATTTTTTTTAATGACATAAAGACAACGACGGTCCTTCTGTCGCTATTTTTAAAAATTAGTTAATTGGCGTAATATGCTAATCGGATGAGCTATGGTAATTAGCAATTATTCTAAGTTTGGACATTAACCCACCTTACCTCCCCGTGTATTTTCTTTCCTGACTTTTGCAAACAAATTAACATAACTTATTTTTTCAAAGGAATTTTTTTTAGAGGAATGCAATATATACATTTAAACGTCACTTCTTTTTTCAAAGTAAAGTTTCACGTTGCCATACACATTCCATATACACTCGACAGTTTGTCCGTCCGGCATGTCGCGTGTGGTGGAGTAATTTGTGGGTAACTGCCACCTCCTCTTCCTCGATGTCCGGCCAGCGTAGAAGGCCCATACATCCTATAGGAGGGACTATCTCTGGAGACGCTAACTGGCACAAGCAGAATCAGAATATTCATTTATACTGGAGGAATCCGATGAGCTGCAAAGCTCTGTTTCACAGGCGCCCCTTCCAAGTCCCCAGCTAAGACCTCAAGCAGTAGCGTGTTCAAGCTATTGCAGGGCTGCACCATTAGCCTACGTACATCCTGACAAAACGTTGTAGAACATTGTAATCTACCTTGCATACAGTGTCTCGGCCTTGTATGTGGCATTTGTTTTGCCCGGGGAGTTGGGGAGCTGTCGAAAAGTCACACGACTTGTTGGAGCGCGCATTGTGCTCGCAAACAAAAACTACATTAAGCTGTTACGAAATGCGAAGGTCATTCAAAATGAGATTCGTGTTTCCAATAACATGTCACTTGTGGTTTCACTTGTAAGTGTAAACAGGCAATGGGTACAGGTGCTAGCTCACACCACTGCTGGCGGAAGGTCCTCCACTAGACGGAGGTTTAGAGAGACCCTCTAAGTATAGCTAAACACATACGTAGAAGAAAAATTCCACGCTGTGTCAATACATATACAAATATGTGCTTGAGCCTTTCCAGACGTAAGCAAGCAAACTCTCGACTGCATTTGAGCTTCTGGGTTTCATCGGCAAAGTCAGATGCTACTGGGGCAATTAAGCTATATGAACTGCTTAATTATGTCTCCACTGCCTAATGAACGCAACGTCTGTTGCGGTATCCATGGCTCATAAGCCTCACGTAGAAATTGCAGACACGGTTCAACCTGGAAGGCTACATTTTGCAATTTCCACAGAGCCCCAAGATCCTAAATGCCTCGGCATTGAGCAAAGGAAACGAACGTAACAGATCCCTGC